CATTTTGTTACGTTACAGCCTTATTCTAAAATGGATAAAACATTTTAAAAAACACAGCAATCTACACACAATACCCCATAATGACAAAGCGAAAACAGGTTGTTAGAAATTGGAACTCGGTACTGAGTGTTTTTATGCGCTACGCGCTTCAGCACTCTGCGGTCCCGTTCTTTGAGATTGTGTAGCCTACCACTTTACGGCTGGGCCGTTGTTGCTCCTAGACGTTTCCACTTCACAATAACAGCACTTACAGTTGACCGGGGCAGCTCTAGCAGGGCAGAAATTTGACAAACTGACTTGATGGAAAGGTGGCATCCTATGACGGTGCCATGTTGAAAGTCACTGAGCTCTTCAGTAAGGCCATTCTACTGCCACTGTTTGTCTATGGAGATTGCACGGCGTTGTGCTGGATTTTATAAACCTGTCAGCAACGGGTGTGGCTGAAATAGCCAAATCCACTAATTTTAAGGGGTGTCCACATACTTCCTTCGGAAAGCATTCAGACCCCTAGACTTTTTCCACATTTTGTTAAATTACAGCCTTGCACACTTTTTTATATCCCTCAGCAATCTACACACAATATCCCATAATGACGAAGCGAAAATGGGTTTATAGACATTTTTGCTAATTTATTAAAAATAAAAAACTGAAATATCTTATTTACATAAGTATTGAGACCCTTTGCTATGAGACTCGAAATGGATCTCAGGTGCATCCTGTTTCCACTGATCATCCTTGAGATATTTCTACAACTTGATTGGAGTCCACCTGTGTTAAATTTAAGTATTCACCCCCCTGGCATTTTTCCTATTTTGTTGCCTTACAACCTGGAATTAAAATTGATTTTTTGTGGGTTTGTATCTTTTGATTTACACAACATGCCTACCACTTTGAAGATACAAAATCTTTTTTCTAGTGAAACAAACAAGAAATAAGACAAAAAAAACAGAAAACTTGAGCGTGCATAACTATTCACCCCCCCCCCCCCCCCCCCCCCAAAGTCTATACTTTGTAGAGTCACCTTTTGCAGCAATTACAGCTGCAAGTCTCTTGGGGTATGTCTCTATAAGCTTGGCACATGTAGTCACTGGGATTTTTGCCCATTCTTCAAGGCAAAACTGCTCCAGCTCTTTCAAGTTGGATGGGTTCCGCTGGTGTACAGCAATCTTTAAGTCAAACCACAGATTCTCAATTGGATTGAGGTCTGGGCTTTGACTAGGCCATTCCAATACATTTCAATGTTTCCCCTTAAACCACTCGAGTGTTGCTTTAGTAGTATGCTTAGGGTCATTGTCCTGCTGGGAGGTGAACCTCCAGGTTTCCCTCAAGAATGTCCCTGTATTTAGCGGCCATCCATCATTCCTTCAATTCTGACCAGTTTCCCAGTCCCTGCTGATGAAAAACATCCCAACAGCATGATGCTGCCACCACCATGCTTCGCTGTGGGGATGGTGTTCTCGGGGTGATGAGAGGTGTTGGGTTTGCGCCAGACATAGCGTTTTCCTTGATGGCCAAAAAGCTCAATTTTTGTCTCATCTGACCAGAGTACCTTCTTCCATATGTTTTGGGAGTCTCCCACATGCCTTTTGGCAAACACCAAACGTGTTTGCTTATTTTGTCTTTAAGCAATGGCTTTTTTCTGGCCACTCTTCCGTAAAGCCCAGCTCTGTGGAGTGTACGGCTTAAAGTGGAGCTTTGCAGCTCCTTCAGGGTTATCTTTGGTCTCTTTGATGCCTATCTGATTAATGCCCTCCTTGCCTGGTCCGTGAGTTTTGGTGGGCGGCACTCTCTTGGCAGGTTTGTTGTGGTGCCATATTCTTTCCATTTTTTAATAATGGATTTAATGGTGCTCCGTGGGATGTTCAAAGTTTCTGATATTTTTTTATAACCCAACCCTGATCTGTACTTCTCTACAACTTTGTCCCTGACATGTTTGGAGAGCTCCTTGGTCTTCATGGTGCCGCTTGCTTGGTGGTGCCCCTTGCTTAGTGGTGTTGCAGACTCTGGGGCATTTCAGAACAGGTGTATATATACTGAGATCATGTGACAGATCATGTGACACTTAGATTGCACCCAGGTGGACTTTATTTAACTAATTATGTGACTTCTGAAGGTAATTGGTTGCACCAGATCTTATTTAGGGGCTTCATAGCGAAGGGAGTGAATACATATGCACACACCACTTTTCCGTTATTTATAGTATAGTAATTTTTTCCATTTCACTTCACCAATTTGGACTATTTTGTGTATGTCCATTACATGAAATCCATATAAAAATCCATTTAAATTACAAGTTGTAATGCAACAAAATAGGAAAAACGCCAAGTGGGATGAATACTTTTGCAAGGCACTGTACTGTGTAATTCTCAAAAATGACGTTGGAGTCAGCTTATGGTAGAGAAATTAACATTAAATGCTCTGGTAACAGCTCTGGTGGATATTACTGCAGTCAGCATGCCAATTGCACGCTCCTTCAAAACTTGAGACATCTGTGGCATTGTGTTTTGTGACAAAAATGCACATTTAAGAGTGGCCTTTTATTGTCCCCAGCACAAGGTGCACCTGTGTAATGATCATGCTGTTTAATCAGCTTTTTGATATGCCACACCTTTCAGGTGGATGGATTATCTTGGCAAAGGAGAAATGCTCAGTAACAGGGATGTAAACAAATTTGTGCACAACATTTGAGAGAAATAAGCTTTTTGTGCATATGGACCATTTCTGGGATCTTTTATTTCAGCCCATGAAACATGGGACCAACACTTTACATGTTGCGTTTTTTTTAATCTTTGTTCAGTATATATATATATATATACTTTATTATGGTAGTATGGTTATACAACCTACAGTACTGCCATCCTAGCATGTGTCCACAGGATGGAATGATAGACCCAGAGCCTTGTGAAATGGTGTTTTGACTTCATAAGTAAAATATATGTGAGATGTCCAGTACATTGAGCTGATATGGCTTGCCCCAGTGTGAAAGCCAAACCTCAGTGAGTCCCCTAGGATAAGGTTTTAGTTTTCAGACTGCAGCAATCTCAGCTGGACCCAGCAGTGGACATCCCCAAAGTAATCACCATTCTGGAGCTCAGCCACCTCAGAATCCATAGGGAGAGGATATGACAGACAGACGCTGAGGAGAAAAGCATTAGGCTACCTCACCAGCTGACAATAAAATCCCTCCTGCATTGGTTGGCATGAAGGATGGAATGGTATTGGCCCGGAACAGACCCCAAAACGATACACACACACGCAGGGACACACACACACACCACACACACTGGTTGTGGTGTAAGATGTATTGGAAGTGGCCTGCTCACTGCCAAGGCAGACCCTAGCAGTTTTAATGTATTTGTGTCCAGCCTAAGTGCTCCAGCATATTACTGCAGACTGAATACAATACATCACAGCTTGGCTTGTCCTGTCTCTGGTCCAGCAATATAATACCTATAGTGCAAATACAATACCCTACCGCAGTGCAAATACAATACCCTACCGCAGTGCAAATACAATACCCTACCGCAGTGCTACGTGTTTTATCAAATTAAACCTCAGTTAGAACAGCAGCTCACATTAATGTAATTAACTATAATGGGAATCATTTTAAGCCAATGATGTTAGGGTGAAATCGTTTTAAGCCAATGACATGTAGCAATCTTGGGGAGGGGGAATCCTGTTAAACCAATGACGTAGATTGTTGCATTATTTGGGCAGCAATAACTTTAAGCCATTGACATACTGTATCACAGTGTTAGTATCCAGTATGCTCTAACCCAATCTTAATCCAAGACCACCTGTTCATTTCTCTCTCTCTCTCTCTCTCTCTCTCTCTCTCTCTCTCTCTCGCTCTCTCTCTCTCTCTCTCTCTCTCGCTCTCTCGCTCTGTCTCTCTGTCTCTCTGGGTCCCCTCTGGGTTCCCTCTGACACTCCACTAGCCTCTGTCTCTATCAATTTATTAATCTCTCCCTCCCTCCCACACATGCTCTCCCCCTCGAGCAGCCTTCCACCCCCTCTCTCCCATCTCTACTTTCCTCACTCAACCCCCCCGCCCCCCTCTTTCTCACTCTACCCTTTTCCCTTCTCTCCCTCCCTCTTATTCCCTCCCTCCATTCTCTCTCTCTCCTATTAGACAGAGTTGTGTAACGAACTGTGGTGCTGTGTGTTTAATCCGCCTTCCACTAAGCCACCTCAGTCATGTGACTCCCTAAACTCGTCCCTGTCTGTCTGTCTGTCTGTGTGTTGTCATGCTGCTAATGGAGGAAACGTTGTTTGGATTTTGTTTTGGCATTACTTGGACGTTGATTGGATGTTGACTGGATATTGATGCTTGATGCCTGGGACTTGCCGATGGTGGAATTGCATTGTTAGCAAACTGCTGTTACTGCACCTGTACAGTGAATAGGGACATTGACTTTTGGGAATAACTTTTGGGATTTAGTTTGGACGTTACTGGGAAGTTGCTGGAATGTTGGATGTACTTGGATATAACGTGGACTTATAAAAATATACATATTTTATTAGTAGGTAAATGTTTTAATATATCTGGTGCAGAGCTGAATGGTGACTGAGGACATACACACACAGGATGTGGAGAGGAAGTGTTGTCTTGATTGGATTAAGGATTTATATGTGATTATGTCATTTAGTGTCATTCAGTGCCAGTGGTGTATTCACTTATAATGTAAGTCTCTCTTGTCAAGATTGACAGTACAGTAAAGTAGTCTCTTCTTACCCTTGCGTGTATGTGTCATCCCACAGACATCTTCTGAGACTACTGATAGATCTCACCACATAGACTTGACCAAATCAAGTATTACAATGTTTCCTCTCACCCAGTGTAACTCAAGTATGTGTCTCTTCTCTCCTCCTACAGGTCTGAACCATGATGCTTTCCATCGTGGCTGTTTGATGATGCTGCTGCTGCTGCTTGGGTAGAGCGGCTCGTTGAGACGACCCTCCAACCCCCCTCCTAGCTCCCTGTTCACCCTACTCCTCAGCCACCATGTTGATCAAGGAGTACCGGATCCCCATGCCCATGAGTGTGGAGGAGTACCGCATCGCCCAGCTCTACATGATCCAGGTGGGTGGTTACTGGCTAGCATACAAGATACGGCACATAGAATACATATATCATGTAGCATAGTATTGCATGGCTAACATGCGTCATACAGGATACAATACCTAGCATAGCATTGCTAACACACAGCATGCAGAATACAACATATAGCACACGGAGCATCACATAGCATATACAGTGCATTCGGAAAGTATTCAGACCCCTTGACTTTTTCCACATTTTGTTACGTTACAGCCTTATTCTAAAATGGATTAAAAAATAATAATTCTCATCAATCTACACATACCTCATTTACATACGTTTTCAGACCCTTTGCTATGAGACTCGAAATTAAGCTCAGGTGCATCCTGTTTCCATTGATCATCCTTTAGATGTTTCTACAACTTGATTGGAGTCCACCTGTGGTAAATTCAATGGATTGGACATGATTTGGAAAGGCACAAACCTGTCTATATAAGGTCCCCCAGTTGACAGTGCATGTCAGAGCAAAAACCAAGCCATGAGGTCGAAGGAATTGACCGTAGAGCTCTGAGACAGGATTGTGTCGAGGCACAGATCTGGAGAAGGGTACCAAAACATTTCTGCAGCGTTGAAGGTCCCCAAGAACACAGTGGCCTCCAAGTTTGGAACCCCCTTCCTAGAGCTGGCCACCCGGCCAAACTGAGCAATTGGGGGAGAAGGGCCTTGGTCAGGGAGGTGGTCACTTTGACAGAGCTCCAGAGTTCCTCTGGGAGATTGGAGAACCTTCCAGAAGGACAACCATCTCTGCAGCACTCCACCAATCAGGCCTTTATGGTAGAGTGGCCAGACGGAAGCCACTCCTGAGTAAAAGGCGGATGACAGCCCGCTTTGAGTTTGCCAAAAGGCAGCTAAAGGACTCTCAGACCATGGGAAACAAGATTCTCTGGTCTGATGAAACCAAGATTCAACTTGGCCTGAATGCCAAGCATCACGTCTGGAGGAAACCTGGCACCATCCCTACGGTGAAGCATGGTGGTGGCAGCATCATGCTGTGGGGATTTTTTTTTCAGTGGCAGGGACTGGGAGACTAGTCACGATAGAGGGAAAGATGAACGGAGCAAAGTACAGAGAGATCCTTGATGAAAACCTGCTGCAGAGCGCTCAGGACCTCCGACTGGGGCGAAGGTTCACCTTCCAACAGGACAACGACCCTAAGCACACAGCCAAGACAACGCAGGACTGGCTTTGGGACAAGTCTCTGAATGTCCTTGAGTGGCCCAGCCAGAGCCCGGACTTGAACCCGATCAACATCTCTGGAGAGACCTGAGAATAGCTGTGCAGCGACGCTCCCCATCCAACCTGACAGAGCTTGAGAGGATCTGCAGAGAAGAATGGGAGAAACTCCCCGAATACCGGTGTGCCAAGCTTGTAGCGTCATACCCAATAAGACTTGAGGCTGTAATCGCTGCCAAAGGTGCTTCAACAAAGTACTGAGTAAAGGGTCTGAATACTTATGTAAATGTAATATTTCAGTTAAATGTTTTTATAAATGTGCTAACATTTCTAAAACCCTGTTTTTGTTTTGTCATTATGGGGTATTGTGTGTAGATTGATGGGGGGGGGGACGACAATTTAATCCATGTTAGAATAAGGCAGTAGTGTAACAAAATGTGGAAAATGTCAAGGGGTCTGAATACTTTCCGAATGCACTGTATGGAATATAACATTGTCCTAAAACAATGGTCTAGGTCAGAGAGACATTAGATTGTTGCTGTGACCCAGGAGCCCTACTGACCCTCGATCAGGTGTTAGGTTGGTGCATTCTTGCTTGCGCATGTGTGTGTAACATGGTGTCAGGTTGTGTTCATGGTTCAGGTCACCAGTTTAATGTGAGCTTTCTAATGCCAGCTGGCTCTCCATATGCTTGTCGCCTATGTTTCATGCACACTCTCTCTTTCTCTCTCTAGAGGAGGAAAATATTAGCACGTTGGTTTCGGGGGTACAAAGTGTTGTTGTAGACAATATGAATGGAACGGAACCCACGCTACAGTATCTACTTCTGAAGAACAGATCTTTCCTAGGACAGTCGCAGCCAACCAGTGATGTGACTCCAGGACATTATCCTAGAGGATTATGGGTGATTAGGTCACCTGGTGACCCCTGACGGAGTACAGTCTGTTAGACCAACACTTGATGAAGCTTCATGTGCTGCCTGTTTTTAATGTTAATGTAAATGTTGTAAACCTTACCCACAAACACTCCGTCTCTCCTCCGGGGCAGCGTCACAGCTGACCGGTTGGTAGCCATGGTAACCAGTGACATCAGCAGCAGCGTGGCAGTGGCTGCCATCATTTGTTTGCAGTGAGAATAAAAGACTGAGAGAGAGGGAAGGTGATTGGGGGAAGCAGATAGAGAAAGGGGGGAGGGAAGGGAAACGTAAAGAGGGAGACTTACAGAGGAACGGGCAGAGACTGATGGAAAGAGGCAAACAGAGAAAGAGAGAGGCAGAGAAAGGCATTGAGATGGAGGGAAATGAAGAAAGAGAAGTGAAGATGATGACAATGTTACACTGCTGATTTTGCAGTGGTGGGAAAAGTACCCAATTGTCATACTTGAGTAAAAGTAAAGATACCTTAATAGAAAATGACTCAAGTAAAAGTGAAAGTCACCCAGTAAAATCCTACTTGAGTAAAAGTCTAAAAGTATTTGGTTTTAAATATACTTAAGTATCAAAAGTAAATGTAATTGCTCAAATATACTTACATTTCAAATTTCTTATATTATACCAGATGGCACCATTTTCTTGTTTTTTAAATTAACGGATAGCCAGGGGCACGCTCCAACACTCAGACAACATTTAGAAATGAAGCATGTGTTTAGTGAGTCCGCCAGATCAGAGGCAGTAGGGATGACCAGGGATGTTCTCTTGATAAGTGTGTGAATTCGAATATTTTCCTGTCCTTCTAAGCATTCAAAATGTAACAAGTACTTTTGGGTGTCAGGGAAAATGTATGGAGTAAAAAGTACATCATTTTCTTAAGGAATGTAGTAAAGTACATTCCTTAAGTGGTCCTCTGTAGCTCAGCTGGTAGAGCACGGCGCTTGTAACGCCAAGGTAGTGGGTTCGATCCCCGGGACCACCCATACACAAAAATGTATGCACGCATGACTGTAAGTCGCTTTGGATAAAAGCGTCTGCTAAATGGCATATTATTATTATTATTATTATTATAAAGTAAAAGTAAAAGTTGTCAGAAATATAAATAGTAAAGTAAAGTACAGATACACCAAAAAACGACTTAAGTAGTACATTCAAGTATTTTTACTTAAGTACTTTACACCACTGTGATTTTGTTATCCCCTCGATTGGAGAGGGTGTCTGTGTGTGTGTGTGTATGTATGGTGTTGTGTATGTGTGTGTGCACCAACTTAGAGACAACATTTAGGGAGAAAAGAGGACAACAGACAGTAGGATGGAGAGCCAGCTCATGTTTGTCCTTTTCATATGTCCATGTGGAAGACTGGAGGGCTGCAATGTGGACTGTGCTTCATATACTGTATATAATTGGTACTTATTGATACATTACTCTCACTTATTGGTCACATACTAGGCCCACACACACCTGGTTTCCTTGGGCTGAAGTAATCATTTGTAAGGCTGGAAGAGACTGACTCTGCAGTGTAGACCTTGAGGACCTGTTTCATGCTAACCTTGTGTGTGTATGTGTGTTTGTGTGTCTTTTTGCTAACCTTGCGGTATCATATAAATTATTCAGCGGTAACTGGGGCCCAGCAGAAATCAGACCTCAGCAAAGCCAAAACATTACTATTCCTGCTGCCCTCTCAGCTTCCAGCCCAGCACAGCATGCCACCATTACTTACTCACACTAATTTCTCTCCATATTCCTCTCTTTCTATCTTTCAGTCGTTTTAGTCCGCTTTTCTTTTCTTTCTACCCCCGGGCTGACCCTCCCCTCCATGCATGTCCTCAGGATCAGATACTGAAACCAAGGAACTCTCTATTGGCTCCCGAGACATTTTCCTTTTCCTTTTTGTCGCTGATTTTTTTTTTTCTTTTTGTCTGTTTGTCCTTGGTGCCTGGGCTTTACTGTTCCTCTCAGCACAAAACGTTCAATCTTCAGGCAGATTCCTGGAAACACTATTTTCTGTCCATGACAATGTTTTTCTCACTTCTCTGTCTTTCTTCACTCTTGCAAGCACCATGTCATAGACGGAAGTACTTGGTGCATCTCAATAGTTTAAAGTGGCTTCCTCTCCTCACCTCCTTTTCTCCCTCTGCACTGCTGTCAATGTCAAACCACTGGACAGGTGAAAGCAGATTCCTAGTAGGCTTCCTAACATGTAGCTTTTTTTCCCACCTAGCTCACGTTTTCAAAGAGGAGATGAGGAAAGGAACAGACCTAGGTTCAAATACATGCATATTTAATTAATTGTTATTTAAATACAAATGTTCTGTGTATTTGAGTATTTCCAATAACATTTGACATTTACATTTTAGTCATTTAGCAGACACTCCCCACTGGGCACACCACGTCATTTCAACGTGGAAATGTTGTTCATATTTGGTTGAGACGTTGATCAATGAGATACCTTTATTCACCCACTCAAAAAGACAGCCAGAAGTTTGTTGAATTCCCAATGGTTTATCACTATGCTTTCAACCTACTAAATATACAACCAAATTCCAATGGGAATACAATGTCAGATATTTATGCAACAATTTAATGTGTTATCACTGTGCTTTATCTAATAGCACAACCAAATGAACTGGATTGCAGTTGAGATTACATTCAAAGATCAATGCTGTTCAAGAGTGTACACACATTTTTATGGCAATTTTGAAGATCTCCACAGACCTGCGACCTTTGCATGCTATTTTGAACATGCATGTTTCCATGATTACATAAGAAGACATTTATAGTTACATTGTGCTAACCTCAAAATGTGGCCATGGATGTGTTTATATTTATTAAGGATCCCCATTAGCTACTCTTCCTGGGGTCCAAACACATTAAGGCACTTACATTACACATAAAACAAAAGATAAAACAGTACATCATATAACATTGTTACACCACTACATATCTACAACACAAAATGTATGATACCACTATACAACAATATTACAATGTACACTACCGTTCAAAAGTTTGGGGTCACTTAGAAATGTCGTTGTTTTTGAAAGAAAAGCAATTTTTTTGGCCATTAAAAGAACATCAAATTGATCAGAAATACAGTGTAGACATTGTTAATGTTGTAAATGGCTATTGTAGCTGGAAACGGCTGATTTTTAATGGAATATCTACATAGGCGTACAGAGGCCCATTATCAGCAACCATCAGTCCTGTGTTCCAATGGCGCGTTGTGTTTGCTAATCCAAGTTTACCATTTTAAAAGGCTAATTGAAAACCCTTTTGCAATTATGTTAGCACAGCTGAAAACTGTTGTGCTGATTTAAAGAAGCAATAAAACTTGAGACTAGTTGAGTATCTGGAGCATCAGCAATTGTGGGTTCGATTACAGGCTCAGAATGGCCAGAAACAAATAACTTTCTTCTGAAACTCGTCAGTCTATTCTTGTTCTGAGAAATGAAGGCTATTCCATGTGAAAAATTGCCAAGAAACTGAAGATCTCGTACAACGCTGTGTACTACTCCCTTCACAGAACAACGCAAACAGGCTCTAACCAGAATAGAAAGAGGAGTGGGAGGCCCGGGTGCACAACTGAGCAAGAGGACAAATACATTAGAGTGTCTAGTTTGAGAAACATATCTCAGACTGCCCATCTTAATCTTTTATTTTTATTGGCCAGTCTGAGATATGGCTTTTTCTTTGCAACTCTGCCTAGAAGGTCAGCATCCCGGAGTCGCCTCTTCACTGTTGACGTTGAGACTGGTATTTTGCAGGTACTATTTAATGAAGCTGCCAGTTGAGGATCTGTGAGGCATCTGTTTCTCAAACTAGACACTCTAATGTATTTGTCCTCTTGCTAAGTTGTGCACCAGGGCCTCCCACTCCTCTTTCTATTCTGGTTAGAGCCAGTTTGCAGCTACAATAGTCATTTACAACATTAACTATGTCTACACTGTATTTCTGATCAATTTGATGTTATGTTAATGGTTTAAAAAAAGTGCCCGTGTGCGTATGCGTGTGTCTGTACCTGTGTGTGTCTCTTCACAGTCCCCACTGTTCCATAAGGTGTATTTTTATCAGTTAAAAAAAAATCTGATTCTACTGCTTGCATCAGTTACAGTGGGGAGAACAAGTATTTGATACACTGCCGATTTTGTAGGTTTTCCTACTTACAAAGCATGTAGAGGTCTGTCATTTTTATCATAGGTACACTTCAACTGTGAGAGACGGAATCTAAAACAAAAATCCAGAAAATCACATTGTATGATTTTTAAGTAATTAATTTGCATTTTATTGCATGACATAAGTATTTGATCACCTACCAACCAGTAAGAATTCCGGCTCTCACAGACCTGTTAGTTTTTCTTTAAGAAGCCCTCCTGTTCTCCACTCATTACCTGTATTAACTGCACCTGTTTGAACTCGTTACCTGTTTAAAAGACACCTGTCCACACACTCAATCAAACAGACTCCAACCTCTCCACAATGGCCAAGACCAGAGAGCTGTGTAAGGACATCAGGGATACAATTGTAGACCTGCACAAGGCTGGGATGGGCTACAGGACAATAGGCAGGCAGCTTGGTGAGAAGGCAACAACTGTTGGCGCAATTATTAGAAAATGGAAGAAGTTCAAGATGACGGTCAATCACCCTCGGTCTGGGGCTCCATGCAAGATCTCACCTCGTGGGGCATCAATGATCATGAGGAAGGTGAGGGATCAGCCCAGAACTACACGGCAGGACCTGTTCAATGACCTGAAGAGAGCTGGGACCACAGTCTCAAAGAAAACCATTAGTAACACACTACGCCGTCATGGATTAAAATCCTGCAGCGCACACAAGGTCCCCCTGCTCAAGCCAGCGCATGTCCAGGCCCGTCTGAAGTTTGCCAATGACCATATGGATGATCCAGAGGAGGAATGGGAGAAGGTCATGTGGTCTGATGAGACAAAAATATAGATTTTTGGTCTAAACTCCACTTGCCGTGTTTGGAGGAAGAAGAAGGATGAGTACAACCCCAAGAACACCATCCCAACCGTGAAGCATGGCGGTGGAAACATCATTCTTTGGGGATGCTTTTCTGCAAAGGGGACAGGACGACTGCACTGTATTGAGGGGAGGATGGATGGGGCCATGTATCGCGAGATCTTGGCCAACAACCTCCTTCCCTCAGTAAGAGCATTGAAGATTTGTCGAGGCTGGGTCTTCCAGCATGACAACGACCCGAAACGCACAGCCAGGGCAACTAAGGAGTGGCTCCGTAAGAAGCATCTCAAGGTCCTGGAGTGGCCTAGCCAGTCTCCAGACCTGAACCCAATAGAACATCTTTGGAGGGAGGTGAATGTCCGTATTGCCCAGCGACAGCCCCGAAACCTGAAGGATCTGGAGAAGGTCTGTATGGAGGAGTGGGCCAAAATCCCTGCTCAGGTGTCCCAAGTTCCTCTTTGTGACACCTGACCACACGACTGAACAGTAGTCCAGCTGCGACAAAACTAGGGCCTGTAGGACCTGCCTTGTTGATAGTGTTGTTAAGAAGGCAGAGCAGCGTTTTATTATGGACAGACTTCTCCCCATCTTAGCTATCAACATGTTTTGACCATGACAGTTTACAATCCAAGGTTACTCCAAGCAGTTTAGTCACCTCAATTTCCACATTATTAATTACAAGATTTAGTTGCGGTTTAGGGTTTAGTGAATGATTTTTCTCAAATACAATGCTTTTAGTTTTTGAAATATTTAGGACTAACTTATTCATTGCCACCCATTCTGAAACTAACTGCAGCTCTTTGTTAAGTGTTGCAGTCATTTCAGTCGCTGTAGTAGCTGACGTGTATAGTGTTGAGTCATCCGCATACATAGACACACTGGCTTTACTCAAAGCCAGTGGCATGTCATTAGTAAAGATTGAAAAAAGTAAGGGGCCTAGACAACTGTCCTGGGGAATTCCTGATTCTACCTGGATTATGTTGGAGAGGCTTCCATTAAAGCACACCCTCTTTGTTCTGTTAGACAGGTAACTCTTTATCCACAATATAGCAGGGGGTGTAAAGCCATAACACATAGGTTTTTCCAGCAGCAGACTATGATTGATAATGTCAAAAGCCACACTGAAGTCTAACAAAACAGCCCCCACAGTCTTTTTATCATCAATTTCTCTCAGCCAATCATCAGTCATTTGTGTAAGTGCTGTGCTTGTTGAGTGTCCTTCCTTATAAACGTGCTGAAAGTCTGTTGTCAATTTGTTTACTGTAAAATAGCATTGTATCTGGTCAAACACAATTTTTTCCAAAAGTTTACTAAGGGTTGGTAACAGGCTGATTGGTCGGCTATTTGAGCCAGTAAAGGGGGCTTTACTTTTCTTAAGTAGTGGAATAACTTGTGCTTCCCTCCAGGCCTGAGGGCACACACTTTCTAGTAGGCTTAAATTGAATATATGGGAAATAGGAGTGGCAATATCGTTCACTATTATCCTCAGTAATTTTCCATCCAAGTTGTCAGACTTGGATGGAAATTACAATGCTTGTCTTTCATCATTTGATCAGTTATAATTGGATGTGTAGTGTCAGCGTTTGTTGCTGGCATGTCGTGCCTAAGTTTGCTAATCTTGCCAATGAAAAAATCATTAAAGTAATTGACAATATCAGTGGGTTTTGTGATCAGTGAGCCATCTGAATCAATGATGGAGTTTGCCTTTTTGCCCAAAATGTCGTTTAAGGTGCTCCAGAGCTTTTTATTATCGTTCTTTATATCATTTATCTTTGTTTCATAGTATAGTTTCTTCTTCTTTTTATTCCGTTTAGTCACATGATTTCTCAATTTGCAGTACGTTTGCCAATCGGTTGTGCATCCAGACTTATTTGCCATTCCATTTACTTCATCCCTCTCAACCATACAATTTTTCAATTCCTCATCAATCCACGGGGATTTAACGGTTTTTACAGTCATTTTCTTAATGGGTGCATGCTTATTAGTAACTGGAATAAGCAATTTCATAAATGTGTTAAGTGCAGCATCTGGTTGCTCCTCATTACACACCACAGACCAACACATATTATTTACATCAACAACATAGGAATAACTACAAAACTTCTTATAGGGAAGGACATTCAACAAAACTACAGCTCAGTGTTCAACACCATAGTGCCCTCAAAGCTCATCACTAAGCTAAGGACCCTGGGACTAAACACCTCCCTCTGCAACTGGATCCTGGACTTCCTGACGGGCCGCCTCCAGGTGGTAAGGGTAGGTAACAACACATCTGCCACGCTGATCCTCAACACGGGGGCCCCTCAGGGGTGCATGCTCAGTCCCCTCCTGTACTCCATGTTCACCCATGACTGCATGGCCAGGCACGACTCCAACACCATCATTACGTATGCCGACGACACAACAATGGTAGGCCTGATCACCGACAACGATGATACAGCCTATAGGGAGGAGGTCAGAGAGCTGGCCGTGTGGTGCCAGGATAACAACCTCACCCTCAACGTGATCAAGACAAAGGAGATGATTGTGGACTACAGGAAAAAGAGGACCAAGCACTCCCCCATTCTCATCGACGGGGTTGTAGTGGAGCAGGTTGAGAGCTTCAAGTTCCTTGGTGTCCACATCACCAACAAACTATCATGGTCCAAACACACCAAGACAGTCATGAAGAGGGCACGATAAAGTATGTTCCCCCTCAGGAGACTGAAAAGATTTGGCATGGGTCCTCAGATCCTCAAAAAGTTATACAGCTGCACCATCGAGAGCATCCTGACTGGTTGCATCACTGCCTGTTATGGCAACTGCTCGGCCTCCGACCGCAAGGCACTACAGAGGGTAGTGTGTACGGCCCAGTACATCACTGGGGCCAAGCTTCCTGCCATCCAGCACCTCTATACCAGGCGGTGTCAGAGGAAGGCCCTAAAAATTGTCAAAGACTCCAGCCACCCTAGTCATAGACTGTTCTCTCTGCTACTGCACGGCAAGCGGTACCAGAGCGTCAAGTCTAGGTCCAAAAGGCTTCTTAACAGTTTCTACCCCCAAGCCATAAGACTCCTGAACAGCTAATCAAATGGCTACCCGGACTATTTGCTGCTGCTGCTACTCTCTGTTTATTATCTATACATAGTCACTTTAACTCTACCTACAGTGGGGGAAAAAAGTATTTAGTCAGCCACCAATTGTGCAAGTTCTCCCACTTAAAAAGATGAGAGAGGCCTGTAATTTTCATCATAGGTACACGTCAACTATGACAGACAAAATGAGGAAAAAAATTCCAGAAAATCACATTGTAGGATTTTTTATGAATTTATTTGCAAATTATGGTGGAAAATAAGTATTTGGTCAATAACAAAAGTTTCTAAATACTTTGTTATATACCCTTTGTTGGCAATGACACAGGTCAAACGTTTTCTGTAAGTCTTCACAAGGTTTTCACACACTGTTGCTGGTATTTTGGCCCATTCCTCCATGCAGATCTCCTCTAGAGCAGTGATGTTTTGGGGCTGTCGCTGGGCAACACGGACTTTCAACTCCCTCCAAAGATTTTCTATGGGGTTGAGATCTGGAGACTGGCTAGGCCACTCCAGGACCTTGAAATGCTTCTTACGAAGCCACTCCTTCGTTGCCCGGACGGTGTGTTTAGGATCATTGTCATGCTGAAAGACCCAGCCACATTTCATCTTCAATGCCCTTGCTGATGGAAGGAGGTTTTCACTCAAAATCTCACGATACATGGCCCCATTCATTCTTTCCTTTACACGGATCAGTCGCCCTGGTCCCTTTGCAGAAAAACAGCCCCAAAGCATGATGTTTCCACCCCCATGCTTCACAGTAGGTATGGTGTTCTTTGGATGCAACTCAGCATTATTTGTCCTCCAAACACGACGAGTTGAGTTTTTACCAAAAAGTTCTATTTTGGTTTCATCTGACCATATGACATTCTCCCAATCCTCTTCTGGATCATCCAAATGCACTCTAGCAAACTTCAGACGGGCCTGGACATGTACTGGCTTAAGCAGGGGGACACGTCTGGCACTGCAGGATTTGAGTCCCTGGCGGCGTAGTGTGTTACTGATGGTAGGCTTTGTTACTTTGGTCCCAGCTCTCTGCAGGTCATTCACTAGGTCCCCCCGTGTGGTTCTGGGATTTTTGCTCACCGTTCTTGTGATCATTTTGACCCCACGGGGTGAGATCTTGCGTGGAGCCCCAGATCGAGGGAGATTATCAGTGGTCTTTTATGTCTTCCATTTCCTAATAATTGCTCCCACAGTTGATTTCTTCAAACCAAGCTGCTTACCTATTGCAGATTCAGTCTTCCCAGCCTGGTGCAGGTCTACAATTTTGTTTCTGGTGTCCTTTGATAGCTCTTTGGTCTTGGCCATAGTGGAGTTTGGAGTGTGACTGTTTGAGGTTGTGGACAGGTGTCTTTTATACTGATAACAAGTTCAAACAGGTGCCATTAATACAGGTAACGAGTGGAGGACAGAGGAGCCTCTTAAAGAAGTTGTTACAGGTCTGTGAGAGCCAGAAATCTTGCTTGTTTGTAGGTGACCAAATACTTATTTTCCACCATAATTTGCAAATAAATTCATTAAAAATCCTACAATGTGATTTTCTGGAGAAAAAAAATGCTCAATTTGTCTGTCATAGTTGACGTGTACCTATGATGAAAATTACAGGCCTCTCATCTTTTTAAGTGGGAGAACTTGCACAATTGGTGGCTGACTAAATACTTTTTTCCCCCACTGTACATGTACATATTACCTCAATTACCTCGACTAACCTGTGCCACCACACATTGACTCTGTACCGGTACCCCCTGTATATAGCCTCGCTACTGTTATTTTACTGCTACTCTGTAATTATTTTTAATTTTAATTTTTTTGTTATCTATTTTTTACTTAACACTTATTTTTCTTAAAACTGTATTGTTGGTTAATGGCTTGTAAATAAGCATTTCACTGTAAGGTCTACACCTGTTGTATTCGGCGCATGTGACAGATATCATTTGATTTGATTTGATTTGTATTACCTCTCATACACTATATTAGGCCCAGCCTTTGGAACTTTGGTTTTCCTAGATATGGCTACTATATTGTGATCACTACACCCAATGGATCTGTATACTGCTTTCATGCTAATTTCTGCAGCATTAGTATAGATGTGCTCAATACATGTTGATGATTTAATTCCTGTGCTGTATCAGTCAACCCTGGTAGGTTGACTGATAACCTGAACCAGGTTGCAGGCACTGGTTACAGTTTTAAGCTTTTTCTTGAGTGGGCAGCTTGCTGAAAGCCAGTCAATGTTTAAATCACCCAGAAAATATACCTCTCTGTTAATATCACATATACATTATCAAGCATTTTACACATTAGGCAGATGAACCTGTAGCCATATTGCTTCAACAGTATTTACCATGAAATCCTCTCTAAGCTTTACAGGAATGTGATTCTGAATATAAACAGAAACACCGCCACCATTGGCATTTCTGTATTTTCTGTAGATGTTATAACCATGTATTGCTACCACTGTATCATCAAAGGTATTATCTAAGTGAGTTTCACGTGTTTTGTTTCCAAAAGGTTTTGAAATTGTCAACAAAAGTTACAACCATTGAGCTGCAATAATCACGTAGCCAGTTGTGAAGAGAAATAATCCTGCTAAAGCATTCAATGCTATGATTCAGAGATGGCGCAGGGCCAGATATGATTGGTCTTTTATTAGTGTCTAGCAGGGAATAAATCAGCTCTTTAAAATCTAGTTTCAACTGTTCAGAGCTGCCCTTCATAATGTCATTAAAACCCACATGGACTACGATAGAATCAATTTCCATGTCCTGGCGTAGAACATTCAGGAGCAGCTTAGTAATGTCATTTACTCAAGCTTCGGGATAGGACATAATTTTTGCACCAGGAACAGTCACATTTCTTACCATGGAGCTGCCCAAAATCATGGCTGCCGAGAAATGTTACTCATTTTAAGGTTGAATAAATACTGTTACATTAGTTTGTAAGAGCCTTAACTTTAGGCTGTTTATTGTATTACAAAAGTATTATTGAATTGTGTTTGGTTGACAACGCAACCAAATATCAACATTTAAAGGATTTCTAATTATTGGATAGTTTCATCTGATCCACTGGCTTAATCCTATTCTTTAACTTTTATTTTTGGTTTAGTTGGAGACGTGAAACCAACATATAATTTGTTGACAAGTTATTAAGCTATTTACTGTATTGCAAAAGTGATATTGAATTGTGTTTGGTTGTCAATGCAACCAAATATTAACATTTAAAGTGCATTTAAAGTTTGATTTGATTAGGTTTTTGGGTTGAGATGGAGACGTGAATCCAACATATCAATTATTAACTGGAATTAAAGCCAGAAGCACAGATGGAACTATCCAAGCAGGGCCATGTTATACGGTATCCTTGGGACGTCCCAACTTTGATGTTACCCCATTGAAGTTGAAATTGAAAATGGTTAAGGTAAGGGTTAAGGTTGAAACATCACATCACAGTTGAAAAATATATGGCAAATAGAAATGAATGTTCTTCAGAGATAGATGGGAGGGGTTGAGGGTAGCTGAAGGATGGGACTAAAAACAAACAAAAGATAACTATTGTAAAATATACTGTCCGTAAAATGTATATAGTATGTATAAGCTGGAAGTAGAAGCCTAAGTGTTGGTGTCCATTAGTTTACTCCAATTAGGGGAGTTAGGGTTAGCGGAATATAATAAAGGAAAAAAAACCAGCAAAAACATGGTTTAAGTTTGGGATTAAGCTTAGGCAAGGGTTATGGTTAGGGTTAGGGTCGGGGTTAAGGTTTGGGTTTAGGGTAGGGATGTCCCAAGGATCCCTGATAGCACTAACCATAGTGCTATCAGTTAAAGAATAGGACTAAATCTAATCTAATCAAACTTTAAAGTTGCATTATGCAGAAATCTCTCTGCCATTTCCTGGTTGCTAAAATAGTTCTCATAGTTCGCTTAATTTCAGTTTATGTGACAAAACAAGCAAGTATAGTGTAGAGAATCAGTGTACCATCTAAACCGCTGTGAAATATATTTTTCATGACCAAAAATATTGTATTTTCAGCTGTTTGAAGCTGTTGTACAAAACCGAAAGTAAAAGATGCAAAAACGAAATTTAAGAAAGGGAAGCATAGAAATAAATCACATAGAACAGCTCTACCGCTTCTTAGACTTGCTTTCAATGAGAATGACAGATCTATAACTCACATTTCTATGTGAATTTGGTCGGGTCACCCAAAAAGTTACATATTGCAGCTATAAATGCACTTTAAATAAAAATTGATTTGATTTAGTACTATTCTTTAACTTTGATTTTTGGTTGAGATGGAGACATGAATGGGAGACCAAATGAATAGCTGTAGATAGCTCAACTCTACAGTAGGAGGTGCTGCACAGCCTATTGTTTTTTTCTGATAGTGGATATAACATTGAAGATCTGACGTTGTTTCTATGGTTACAAATTCAACATATTTTATACAATGTTTGTCTATGTTGAAAATTGGTTAGAATGATGACATAATTCTGTGGTTGAAATTTCACCCTGAAAACAATACTTTTTAAAAATCCAATGTATCCAATCCAATGTATTTTCCAGGTAGATTCCACATCACAATACAACGACAAATTACGTTGAAACAACATTGATTCAACCAGTTTGTGCCCAGTGGGTCTTATCCAGAGCGACTTACATTTAGTGCAAATAATGTGGACAAATCAGCTACTTCTACCACTCTAAATTTCAAGCCTCTGCCTCTAACCCTAGGAAGCTCTTTGCCACCGTCTCCTCCCTGCTGAATCCTCCTCCTCCTCCCCCTCCCTCCTCCCTCTCTGTGGATGACTTCGTCAATCATTTTGAAAAGAAGGTTGACGACATCCGATCCTCATTTATTAAGTCAAATGACACAGCTGGTCCTGCTCACACTGCCCTACCCTATGCTTTGACTTCTTTCTCTCCTCTCTCTCCAGATGAAATCTTGCGACTTGTGACGGCCGGCCGCCCAACAACCTGCCCGCTTGACCCTATCCCATCCTCTCTTCTCCAGACCATTTCCAGAGACCTTCTCCCTTACCTCACCTCGCTCATCAACTCATCCTTGACCGCTGGCCATGTCCCTTCCGTCTTCAAGAGAGCGAGAGTTGCACCCCTCCTCAAAAAACCTACACTCGATCCCTCCGATGTCAACAACTACAGACCAGTATCCCTTCTTTCTTTTCTCTCCAAAACTCTTGAGCGTGCCGTCACAAGCCAACTCTCCTGCTATCTCTCTCAGAATGACCTTCTTGATCCAAACCAGTCAGGTTTCAAGACTGGTCATTCAACTGAGACTGCTCTTCTCTGTGTCACGGAGGCTCTCTGCACTGCTAAAGCTAACTCACTCTCCTCTGCTCTTATCCTTCTAGACCTATCCGTTGCCTTTGATACTGTGAACCATCAGATCCTCCTCTCCACCCTCTCCGAGTTGGGCATCTCCGGCGCTGCTCACTCTTGGATTTCGTCCTACCTGACAGGTCGCTCCTACCAGGTGGCGTGGCGAGAATCTGTCTCCGCACCACGTGCTCTCACCACTGGTGTCCCACAGGGCTCAGTTCTAGGCCCTCTCCTATTCTCTCTATACACCAAGTCACTTGGCTCTGTCATATCCTCACATGGTCTCTCCTATCATTGCTACACAGACGACACACAATACATTTTCTCCTTTCCCCCTTCTGATAACCAGGTGGCAAATCGCATCTCTGCATGTCTGGCAGACATATCAGTGTGGATGTCGGATCACCACCTCAAGCTGAACCTTCGGCAAGACGGAGCTGCTCTTCCTCCCGGGGAAGGACTGCCCGCTCCATGATCTCGCCATCACGGTTGACAACTCCATTGTGTCCTCCTCCAAGAGTGCAAAGAACCTTGGCGTGACCCTGGACAACACCCTGTCATTCTCCGCTAACATCAAAGCGGTGACCCGATCCTGCAGGTTCATGCTCTACAACATTTGCAGAGTACGACCCTACCTTACACAGAAAGCGGCACAGGTCCTAATCCAGGCACATGTCATCTCCCGTCTGGATTACTGCAACTCGCTGTTGGCTGGGCTCCCTGCCTGTGCCATTAAACCCCTACAACTTATCCAGAACGCCGCAGCCCGTCTGGTGTTCGACTTTCCCAAGTTCTCTCATGTCACCCCGCTCCTCCGCACACTCCACTGGCTTCCAGTTGTGGCTCGAATCTACTACAAGACCATGGTGCTTGCCTACGGAGCTGTGAGGGGAACGGCACCTCCTTATCTTCAGGCTCTGATCAGACCCTACACCCAAACGAGGGCACTACGTTCATCCACCTCTGGCCTGCTAGCTCCCCTACCTCTACGAAAGCACAGTTCCCACTCAGCCCAGTCCAAAGCTATTTGCTGCTCTGGCACCTCAATGGTGGAACAAGCTCCCCCACGACGCCAGGACAGCGGAGTCACTGACCACCTTCCGGAGACACTTGAAACCCTACCTCTTTAAGGAATACCTGGAATAGTATAAAGTAATCCTTCATACCCCCCCCCCCCCCCCCCCCCCCCCTCCCCCCCCCAAAAAAAGTGGTTGTCCCACTGGCTATCATAAATTGAATGCACCAATTTGTAAGTCGCTCTGGATAAGAGCGTCTGCTAAATGATGTAAATGTAAAAGTATTTGAAAGTATTTTCAAATAACTTCCTATAAAAAGCCTAAACTATTTTCAAATACTTATTTCCAGATACAGTATTTCAAATACCCCTAGCAACAAACTAGCCTTGCATGTCACCCTGATCTCTCGAGCTTACAGGAATGGTTCGCTATCCGTGCGTCGAACCATTCATGTAAGCTTGAGAGATCAGGGTGGCATGTGAGTCTAGGACCAGACCTGGGTTCAAATGCATGGAGTATTTAAATATTTGTATTTGAAAATACACTCTGTGTATTTGAGTATTTTCAAATACATGCCAATACCTTCCAAGTGTATTTCCAAATATACCCCATATCAACTCTTGTTCCTCTTTCTTTTCTTAACTTGCGTGTCTTTGTCTGTTCCTAAATATTTTGAATACTTCGAGGAAAATCACTCAGACTATTGGATGACCCCACCTAGACATACTCTTAGTTCCTTCTTTCTTCTCTCTCTGGCTGTTTCTTTCTGTCTGCCTCGAACATTCAGGTGAGATTTCTCTCTCATCTCCTCTCCTCTCCTCCTCTCTCTCTCTCTCTCTCTCCTCTCCCCCCCCCCCCCCCTCTCTCTCTACCCCCCCCTCTCTCCTTGCTGTGGAGGAACCGATTGATGATGGGCAGCTCAACCATGGACTCTCTGTGCATGCATGTGTGTTTGGGTGGTCGTGTGTGTGTCAGGGCAGGCGTGATGTGACCTGTCAGTGCTGTAATGAAGTGCTGGTATGCTGCTCCCACAGTGTGAGCAGACACAGCCGCAGATGTGTATGTGTGTGTGTTTGTGTGTGTGTATGTGTGCGTTGTCAGTGTGTGTGTGTATGTGTGTGATCCAGCATTAGATATCTCCCTTGGGGCTGTCTCAAAACTAATGTCACATTTCCTTATTAGAGCCTTTGCTCCAAAGCACCAAAGCAGTACACATTTTTGTTTTAGCCCTGGACAAACATACCTCATTCAACTCATTGAGGACTTGATGATTAGTTGACAAGTTGAATCAGGTGTGCTTGTCAAGGGTTACAATCAAATGCGAACTTTTAGGGGTACTTGAGGACCAGGGTTGGGAACCACTGCTGCACAGTATACTGACTGACTCCATAACCAGATACTCTCTGAGCTTCCACTCATATTATGGAGAGTTTCCACTCATATTAAGCAGCTAATACTCCGTTCCCTGTGGTAGAGGCCTTCAGAGGGCTGGGGAGGGTAATGGAAGGCCCTCAGCTCTGCTCCTAAATTAGATTACATACTAAATGACTGCAATTTCCGAGCTGTTCCACCGCTTCTTACGACCTTCGCTCCTCACCACTCCTTAAAACCCCATCTCATATCTACAGAAGGCGAGAGAGGATGCGTCCCAAATGGCATCCTATTCCTATTCCATTATAGAGCACTACTTTTGACCAGGGCCATAGTGTTCCATTTGGGAAACAGCCATAGTGAGGCCTGGAGGCTACATGGGAATAATGGGAATTATGCTGGTGTAATGGGTGACCTAGCTTCTCTTGGATTAACCAGACACTATGAGATCAATCTGCTACAGTTTCCCAGGTTGACTGCCATATTATGCCCTGTTAGGTCTGGTGCTTCTTCAGACCTGGGTATGTCCCAAATGAAATCCTATTCCCTATTTAGTGCACTACTTTTGACCAGGGTCCATCAAAAGTAGTATCTTCAAATCAAATCAAATCAAAGCACATTTTATATGCCACATGCGGCAAATACAACAAGTGTAGACATTACAGTGAAATGCTTACTTACAAGCCCTTAACCAACAATGCATTTTTTAAAGAATCTTTTTTTTTTGTGTGTTAAGTAAAAAAAAAGAACAGCAAATAACTAAAGAGCAGCAGTAAAATAAAATAACAGTAGGGAGGCTATATACAGGGGGGTACCGGTGCAGAGTCAATGTGCGGGGGCACCGGCTAGTCGAGGTAATTGAGGTAATATGTACATGTGGGTAGAGTTAAAGTGACTATGCATAAATAATAGACAGAGTAGCAGCAGCGTAAAAGAGGGGGGTGGGGGTGGGGGGGCAGTGCAAATATTCCGGGTAGCAATGAATAGCTGTTCAGGAGTCTTATGACTTGGGGGTAGAAGCTGTGGTAGTGCCTTGCAGTCGGAGGCCGAGCAGTTGCCATACCAGGCGGTGATGCAACCAGTAAGGATGCTCTCGATGGTGCAGCTGTAGAACTTTTTGAGGATCTGAGGACCCATGACAAATCTTTTCTCTCTCTCTCCTCTCCATCTGACTCTCTTTTTCTCTCTCTCATCTCTCTATCTCTCTGTCTGTCTCTCTCTCTCTGTCTCTCTCTCTCTCTTTTTTCTCTCTTTCTCTCTCTTACTCACTTTCTCTCTCCCTCTCTCCTCTTCCTCATCTATGAGGAAGGATGAAAGCTAATACATCACTAGACTGCCAGGAGAGGAAGAGGAGGAGAGAGAGCAGGAGGGAGGAAGAGAAAAAAGGACTGGAGGAAGGAGGAGTGACAGGGAGAGGTTTTATTTTGGAGAGGGGAATATTTTGACGTGGCAGACATTTTTCTCCTAACTCAGCACTTTGGTAATCTTTATGATTAGAATACATTCAGCGTTGAGCCGAGGATGAAGTCTTGTGTGTGTGTGTGTACATGTGGGTATACATGTGTGTACGCCGTAACCTGTTCAACTGAAAAGCAGGCCCTGACTCCCCCTTCTTCTTCTCTCCACTCCTCTTGCAGAAGAAGAGCCGAGAGGAGAGTTGTGGTGAGGGCAGTGGGGTGGAGATCCTAGAGAACAAGCCGTATGAGGATGGTCCAGGCGGGTCAGGACAGTACACACACAAGGTGTACCACATCGGGAAACACATCCCCTCATGGTTCTGCTCCATCTTGCCTCAGGCTGCTCTACGCGTGGAAGAGGAGTCCTGGAACGCCTACCCATACACACGCACACGGTGAGAGACAGTTTGCTACAGCAGGAAAATAATGTGAATTATTATGTTGATTATAACTAATGGACATTTGTGTAGGGGTTGATACATTTTTCGTAAGGGAAAATGAAGTCTGAAATTTCAAAGTGGAAATTACAAACTTCAGAAGCCTTTTTAGACCTCAAATACACTACAAGTTTTACATTTCCTGCATTGAAGGAAAGTTATCTTGCAACAGGGTGATCAAATTAAGATCCTACACCTGTATATAGTATGTACACACACCTTACCATACACACGCACACGATGAGAGGGAACACACACGTATAGTATGCACACACACCCTACACTCTCTGGAACCAAAAAGGGTTCTTCAAAGGGTTCTCGTATGTACATGTATGCATGCACACACACTTACATCATTACACACATACATGTGTGGCCCTGAGGCCCGGAGTTGTGCATCTCAAACCTACACGCCTACACAAAGACAAGATGTGAAAGAGACATTCTCCTAAACCCTCCTCCCCCCTTCTCCCCTTTTTCCACATTACTCATCCCTCTCTCTCTCCCTCCCTCTCTCTCCCTCTCTCTCTCCAGGTATACCTGTCCATTCGTAGAGAAGTTCTCCATAGACATTGAGACGTATTATAAACCTGACACAGGAACACAAGAGTGCTTCAATCTGTCATCAGCAGAAAAAAGAACAAGGACTGTAGGTATGTTACACACATACACACAAGCCTTCTCAAGCCTACTGTTCTCAGTCTCTGTCTGGGCTTCATGGATTTCAGAGAGCAGTCAGCAATTCGCTGTTTCACACACGCTATGGTCTTTAAGATGCAGACAGCGTGTGTTCCGTCTTATACTGCTGCTGATGTGTTTGAGTGTGAGCTGCTGGCTGGCTTAATACTGCAACGCCACTCCCACAGTGCAGTGTGGCCCAGACTGACTCTGCAGGGGGATGATTACAGAACCACACACACACACATACACACACAGAGTAATGTCTATAGGGGATAGTAGCTCACGCACACATAGTACATTTTACATTTACATTTTAGTCATTTAGCAGATGCTCTTATCCAGAGCGACTTACAGTTAGTGAGTACATACATTTTCATACTGGCCCCCTGTGGGAAACGAACCCACAACCCTGGTGTTGCAAGCGCCATGCTCTACCAACTGAGCTACAGGTGTTTGTCGTTGCTCTTTGTGTGCAGCAGCACATCTCTCTGACACAGCCACCCAAGCATGCAAGTGCATGCATGCAGGCACACACACACACAACACATACACACGTAGCAACACACTCTGGTCGTGGAGCAGAGCAGTGAAGACCTCTAGTGGCTTCAAGCCAGCAGTACTATTGTTCCTCCGACTAACGCTTTTAAAGGCCTGTGCTTTTCTCAATTCTATTCTGGTTCCGTCTGCACCCATTCTCTCCAAAATTAGACAAAGTCAAGGAATATCAATAAGTAATCATCTCATAATTCGCTACATGGCTAATTTTGGTCTGTGTGCTGTGTGTTTTATCTCCAGACCCCATTGACATTGTGAAGGACTACATTGCACCCCATGAGTACCTGGTCGAGGAGGACCCTAAGCTGTACGTATCAGAGAAAACCCAGCGAGGACCACTGACTGACGACTGGATCGAACTCATCAACCAGAATCCTACCCAGAACACGGTCATGTGTGCCTACAAGCTCTGCAAGGTGGAGTTCAGATACTGGGGCATGCAGTCCAAGATAGAACGCTTCATACACGATGTTGGTAGGTACTGTGTGTGTGTGTGTGCATAGGCACCTAAGCAATGGAGCAAACAGAGCAGCTGCACCCCCACTTTCAAAATAGAGGTGCAAACATAGGATTTTGCACCCCCACTTTTTTGCCATAAAATAATAATTAACAGATTTAATTTTGCACCCCCTCCCCCTCAAGATGAATGGTTTTGACCACTCAAAGGTTTTGGTTCAGTGCAGTTAGAAAGCACTAGTTGCACGACTGGTTTTTAAAATGAATAGACATCTGCAAAATAATTTTTTTTAAATCTATTTTGATGTGCTGTTGTTAAATTTGTATCGTTGTTTCATGTCCGATGCACTCAGGGTGTTGTTATTTCATTTGAGTGGCGCGTTCACCATGAGCAAATTCATCAGTCATTTTACTTTGGCTGTTTAGACTAGGGATGCAAAAAACATCAAGCCTCATGTCCACCAGATGCGTCAAACTCTTTGCGTTCCGACTGAAGTCATTAATTGTCAATGGAGCATTCCGCAATGCTACGTTTGGAATGCTGCACTAGGCTGTGGTGCGTTCTGTGTACCGCATGCGCTCAGTATTTTAAACTCATGCGTTGCTTTACCGTGCGGAGGTACAAACAGAAGTTCATAAACAGCCAAGCTGATTAATCCCCGTTTCCATTGGAACTTTGAAGTCAACCCAGGTTGGGCTGGCCTTGGTGGGCTAGCTCAAATTGCATTTCCACTGTCTCCAGAAATTAGAAATGATGTAATGTTGCTAGGTAGCCAATATGTGACTGCAGCTGGCATCGCGAATGTAGCTAGCAAGATGTTGAAGGATTTAATTCACCCTTAACAGGGTGTAACTAACGTTACCCCATACTCTGCCAGTTCCAGCCAGACTCAGAGCCATGTATTTAGCTTGCTGACGTTAGCTAGCTAAACGGTTAGCATCATCGATAGCATAACAGGCTAGCTACATTGCTTAATTCCCACCTTGCTTGCCATGGCATTGGCTATTAGCTGCTCATATTAGCTCATATTTTCTAGCTTGTTTCAACACTGATTTGGTAGCTAGCATTCGAGGGCTGACTGTTCTCATAAAAGTTTATTGTCTAGTGCAATAATGAATGAAGGATCCAGCGATGGTGGAAACCTGCATGGCCAGTAGCTCGCAGGCTGTCAATGAGTAGCTCACAAGTATACTTAAGTAATAAGGCATGAAGGGGTGTGGTATATTGGCCATATACCACAAACCCCCGAGGTGCCTTATTGCTATTATAAATGTGTTACCAACGTAATTAGAGCAGTACAAATACATGTTTTGTCATACCGGTGTCATCCAATCTGCATTCAGGGCTCCAACCACCCAGTTTATAATGAAAAATAATCAGTAGGACTATATTACATAATTAAATGTGACATATTTTTTCTCCCCAAGCTGTTCACAGGTATTTAACACCATTTTTGTCATCTATTTTCCCAACATCAATCGGTTAAATTACATTATTAAAATGTTTTCATTCAGTTACAATAGTAACAGTCCTGGCTGAGCCCCATATGCGAGCGCACCGTTGCCACTTCGCGGTTACAATGTAGCCAAGCTGTGTCTGTGTGCACCTATGATGAAAAAGCACAGGATATTTGTACCTCGATAAAAACAGCTCTGTTTGGCTTGGTAAGTAATATCGACCAAATAAGCAATTTCTACCCTAGTTGCATCAAATATGTGAGACAAGTTAATAAATTAAAAAAATGATGGTGATGTTGTGACTGCGCTTCAAACAACAGCACCAAAAAAGTTAATGTTGTAAAAAAGTGGAACGGTCAACGGCTTGCTGAGACTACACTTTTGTTATTCCTCATACTTTTCATGATTATTCTGTTTTTTCACAATTTCTTATCCAATATGTAGCCTACTCACTGTGGTGTGTTGTTTAAAAGGCCATTATTAAACAGAATGACCATTTTATAGTAGCCTATTCCTGTAACTGCAGGTTACAGATTTGTTCAAATGTAAAACTATTTTATTTGATCTCATCTTAAAAAGGCAAGATTCTCAAGGTAGGCTAAAGGAGAATGATTTTTGTTCAAAATGTGTGGTTTTAAGAACCAAAACGCAATCACATTATGTATGCAGAGAGTGCTGTTCTTTGTTTTTATTCATTCAATTAGGCCTGCACAATAATAAAATATGCAAGCGGTAGCCTATATGAGTAGGTCGAATAATTTTCATTTTTTAATGAAGTAGCTCTTATTAAAGAAGAGGTTGGAGACCCCTGTTCCACCCCAAACTGTTCAAATATTACCCATATTACCAAAGCTACATTTTATTATTTTTATTGCAGATTTGGGGCCGCAATTTATGGATATAGCTGCTAAAAATATTGCACAATAATGATTAAATTAATCATACGTATGCAATATTGTTTTTATGTGAGCATAATCTATGACCAAATGTAAATGCAAAACTCCAGTTTACATTTTCAAGTTGACAGTTCTTGTTCAATGCCCTACCAGATAATATCGCCATATTGAGAAACATCAAAATTCACATTTATAATTATACTACATTACTGTGATCACATTATTTGTGACAAAAATAAAAATAAAACTTAATGTGCAATTTAACTATGTTTTTACTTAACCTACTAAGTACAACATTCTAATTCTTATTGGGTAAAATAATGATATTCCTCACATTTTCGATTTTATTTCCTCATTGTCATGCATTATCCTGGCCACATTCTTAACAGTTTGGCCTGTCAATCGATCACTGTGGCTGGGATTGTCAGGGAAGAAGGCGGGATGTTTGTGAGTCACTGGGTTGGTTTCAGACCTGGAGAGATGTGTGGGGAAGGAAGGAAGAGAAAACGAGAAAAGATGAGAAAAAGACAGTAGGACTGAGAATGAGAGATCGTGAATGAGAGAGTGAGTGACAGAGGGAGAAGTAGAGCGAAACATGGTGGTAATAAAGGAAGAATGATGAAGAGCGAGAAAGGGATGGACGGAGAGAGAGAGAAGATAAGAAATTAATTTCCTGCCAGTGTTCTCCTGTCAGCTCATCAGTCTGCATCATGACAGTGACAGTGATTTACTACTGCTTAAGGCGTCAGTATGCTTTAGTTCGGGTGGCGACTAGCCAAGCTCGGCTAGCCGAACTGAAGGAGTGTCCTCGCATACTCCCTTAAAAGACCTTCGCCTGAAAAACGCCCCCAAAAAAGTGTCGAAAAAACCCTCACCGAAGTTCAAATGAATTTCACAAAATGTCATCATAAAACAGTGCATTCGGAAAGTATTCAGACCCCTTGACTTTTTCCACATTAGGTTAGGTTACAGCCTTATTCTAAAATTGGATAAAATTGTTATTTTCCCTCATCAATCTACACATAATACCCCATAATGACGAAGCAAAAACTGTTTTTTAGACATTTTTGCAAATTATATATAAAAAAATTAATTAATGAAATATCACATTTACATAAGTATTCCGAACTTTACTCAGTACTTTGTTGAAGCACATTTGGCAGTGATTACAGCCTCGAGTCTTCTTGGGTATGACGCTACAAGCTTGGCACACCTGTATTTGTGGGAGTTTATCCCATTCTTCTCTGCAGATCCTCTCAAGCTCTGTCAAGTTGGATGGGGAGCGTCGCTGCACAGCTATTTTCAGGTCTCTCCAGAGATGTTCGATCGGCTTCAAGTCCGGGCTCTGGCTGGGCCACTCAAGGACATTTAGAGATTTGTCCCGAAGCCACTCCTGCATTGTCTTGGCTGTGTGCTTTGGGTCATTGTCCTGTTGGAAGGTGAACCTTCACCTCAGTCTGAGGTCCTGAGCGCTCTGGAGCAGGTTTTCATCAAGGATCTCTCTGTACTTTGCTCCGTTCATCTTTCCCTCGATCCTGACTAGTCTCCCAGTCCCTGCCGCTGAAAAACATCCCCAAAGCATGATGCTGTCACCACCATGCTTCACCGTAGGTATGGTGCCAGGTTTCCTCCAGACGCTTGGCATTCAGGCCAAAGAGTTCAATCTTGGTTTCATCAGACCAGAGAATGTTGTTTCTCATGGTCTGATAGTCCTTTAGGTGCCTTTTGGCAAACTCCAATCGGGCTGTCATGTGCCTTTTACTGAGGAGTGGCTTCCGTCTGGCCACTCTACCATAAAGGCCTGATTGGTGGAGTGCTGGACGGTTGTCCTTCTGGAAGGTTCTCCCATCTCCACAGAGGAACTCTGGAGCTCTGTCAAAGTGACCACCTCTCTGACCAAGGCCCTTCTCCCCCGATTACTCAGTTTGGCCGGGCGGCCAGCTCTAGGAAGAGTCTTGGTAGTTCCAAACTTCTTTCATTTAAGAATGACGGAGGCCACTGTGTTCTTGGGGACCTCGCTGTAGAATTTTTTTGGTACCCTTCCCCAGATCCTGTCTCGGAGCTCTACGGACAATTCCTTCGACCTCATGGCTTGGTTTTTGCTCTGACATGCACTGTGAACTGTGGGACCTTATATAGACAGGTGTGTGCCTTTCCAAATCATGTCCAATCAATTGAATTTACCACAGGTGGACTCCAATCAAGTTGTAGAAACATCTCAAGAATGATGAATGGAAACATTATGCACCTGAGCTCAATTTCGAGTCTCATTTTTTTTTTTTCTGAGGCCAGCACCGACCCTAACCCGCAAATATAGAACATGTGCTGTACAGTTCCCTTTTCTTTCTCTTCAACATTTATTGAACAATTACGTTTTTCTTCCATATTTATTAAACTCAAATGGAATTATATTTGTCACATGCGCCGAATACAACAGGTGTAGAATGTACTGTGAAATGCTTACTTACGAGCCCTTTCTCAATAATGCAGAGTAAAAAAGTAAATAGTAATACAATAAAGTAACGAGACTATATACAAGGAGTACCGGTACTGAGTCAGTGTGCAGGAGTATGAGGTAGGTGAGGAAATTGAGGGAATATGTACATGTAGGTAGGGGTAAAAGTGACTAGGCAATCAGGATAGATAATTAACAGAGTAGCAGCAGCGTATGTGAAGAGTGTGTCTGTGTGTGTGTGTGGCGTCAATATGCATGTGTTTTGTGTGTGTGAGCGTATGTAGTGTGTGTGTGTGTTGGAGAGTCAGTGTAGTATGTGTGAGTGTTTGGGTAGTCAAGCGAGTGTGCATAGAGCTGGCGCAAGAGAGTCAGTGCAAATAAAAAGGGGGTGAATACAACTATTCAGGGTAGCCATTTGATTAACTGTTCAGTAGTCTTATGGCTTGGGGGTAGAAGCTGTTCAGGAGCCTTTTGGTCCCAGACTTGGCGCTTCGGTACCGCTTGCCGTGCGGCAGCAGAGAGAACAGTCTATGACTTGGGTGGCTGGAGTCTTTGACAATATTTAGGGCCTTCCGCTGACACTGCCTGGTATACAGGTCCTGGATGGCAGGGAGCACGGCCCCTGTGATGTACTGGGCCGTACGCATTACTGTCTGTAGCTAAGCAGTTGCCATACCAAGAGGTGATGCCACCAGTCAAGATGCTCTCAATGGTGCAGCTGTAGAACTTTTTGAGAATCTGAGAGCCAATGCCAAATATTTTCAGCCCCTTGAGGGGGAAGAGGCGTTGTCGTGCCTTCTTCACGACTGTGTTGGTGTGTTTGGACCATGATAATTCCTTAGTGATGTGGACACTGAGGAACTTGAAGCTCTCTACCCGCTCCATGACAGCCCCGTCAATGTGAATGGGTGCGTGCTCGGCCCTCCGTTTCTCTGTAGTCCACGATCAGCTCCGTCTTACCTCATTGAATATTTAGGCCTATTGAACAGTAGCCTACTGTTTTTCTGAAACAACAAATTTCCAACAATAGACTAAATTGACACTGTGCGCATGCTTTTGTGAAAAAGTCAAACAATAAATCACACCCTCCGCATGCTTTTATGAAAAGACCTACGCACTAATGCCAGATAAAAATAATGAAAGAAAAACCTCAATGTAGCCTATAAATATGAATATTGAAATAATTGCACAATAATTATTATGGATTTTTTAAATGCATTTTTTTCTCTTTATTCACCCGCTGTTCATCCACACAATATTTAATTAACCAAAACCCGCCCGTTCCGAGGATATAACCACAGGGACTGCAGGTTATGAGTCAACCCGCGCATCACTAACACACACTGACCTACTGCTGTTTGTTTATATACACTCTCTTAATTTATACACAAAGCTCATTTAATCATCTCGTGTTATGGCTGAGTTGAATGTTGAATCACCTGCTAGGTGTGTGTTTGTGTTGTACCTGTGTGTCTAGTATATGTGTGTTGTGTGTGTGACTGCTCAGTGTGTTGTTCCTGTATGGCGCTTGTTCAGTACATTATGACTGACAGGCTCATTAGTTTATTTCTAATGAATGCATGCACGATTGATGGGTATTGAGAGAAAGGAAAATAATTAAATTGATTGGAATTGAGAGAGAGATCGCTGTGATAATGTTATTAATCTCCTGCTCTTCCCTCCCACCTCCTCCTCCTCCCCTGCGTAAGGTGATGGTGTGTTAGTTAGTTAGTTATCATACTAACCTGTCCTCTCCACCACCCCTCCACCCAGGCCTGCGTAAGGTGATGGTGCGGGCCCACCGGCAGGCATGGTGCTGGCAAGATGAGTGGTATGGTCTGACCATAGAGGACATCAGACAGCTGGAGCTGGAGACCCAGCTAGCCCTGGCCAGGAAGATGGCCCAGTACAGCCTCAATGACACAGAGGAGGGGGCGGCAGAGACCAACGGGACTCCTCCCAACCCTGACCAGGACCAGGAGGGGGTGAAGGCCCTGGGGGAGGCGGGAGAGGTGGACGGAGGACGGACAGGGCTGGGAGATACATTACAGACGCGTGGAGAGCTCACCAAGCAGTGGTCGACTTCGTCCAAGTCGTCTAATAGATCCTCTAAGAGAGGAGGTTAGTGGGGAATGCATTTCTCTGTTCAATAATTACCAACTTCCCAAGTCCCAAAGTCTCAAATCAACCCCGAGAGAATAGTTCCCTCACTGATGCAACTCCTATTCCTATTTCCTGTCCACACAGGAAGCCCCGTCCACCAGAACATCTCAGAGTGGCGGATGCAGAGTATCGCTCGTGACTCAGAGGACAGCACAGACGACGAGTTCTTTGACGCTCACGGTTTGCTAGGACATTTTATTACAGACCACTATTACAGTTACTACATCAGCTGTTACTTAATGTGGTTATATGACTGTTATTACATGTTATTACAACATCAACTGTTACTGATGTTATACTGATGTTATACTGATGTCTGTCTCCTCAGAGGACTTCTCTGGAAATGAGGAGATGTTGTTACATGCCAAGGAGATGACCAAGTGGAGTTCCAACGACCTAATGGACAAGATGGAGACTACAGAGACGGAGGGCCAGGGTAGGACCACACACGCGCGCAAGCACCCACACACACACACACACACACACACACACACACACATACACACACACACCTAGTTAAGGCATATGTATACATTGAAATCACTGGCCACTTTAAGAAATGGAACACTAGTCACTTTAATAATGTTTACATATCTTGCACTACTCATCTCATATGTATATACTGCATTCTATTCTATAATATTCTACCGTATCTTAGTCCATGCCGCTCTGTCATTGCTTGTCCATATATGTATATATTCTTAAATCCCATTCCTTACTAGTTTTGTGTGTATTGGGTATATGTTGTGAAATTGTTAGATATTACTTGTTAGATATTACTGCACTGTCGGAGCTAGAAGCACAAGCATTTCGCTACACCCGATATAACATCTGCTAAACACGTGTATGTGACAAATAAAATTTGATTTGATTTGATGTAGTAATGTATGCGTGTAAGTCTGTAATGTCTATGCTAATATTTTTAAATGTATGTCAATTGTAAAGTATTTTTGTCTATAATGTCTTTTTCGTTATGTGTCGGACCCCAGGAAGACTAGCTGTCGCCTTTGGCGTCGGCTAATGGGGATCCCAGTAAAATCTAAATCGAAACAGACACACACACACACACACACACACTCGCTCCATTCGTCATTAAGATTTCAGACTTTCATGTCCTATATCGTCCTTCAGGAAGTTCATTTGTTCAATGAAAAATAATTGTGCATGTGTGTTGGTGTGTTTGTTTACAGAGAGCCTGTATCAGGAGTCGGGTGAAGGGTATGCAGTCACCAGTAGTGAGGAGAGACTCCTTGAGGTATGCTTCCAATGTAACATCTCTTCATCTAGACCCCAGGAAGAGTAGCTGCTGCTTCAGAAAAAGCTAATGTGGATCCAAATAAACAAATGGCAGTATGAAGAACGTACGAGAGTAGTAAACAACATTATGAGTTCTCACAGAGGGTTACTAACTATAGCTTCATAAGTTCTTAAGAAAATGTAATAACAATACATTAACAACAATGTTTGCAGTCAAACTGTGCATCTTTGGACCTAGCCCTCAGTGCACTGTGGTTCAGAGGGGGTTTGTAGCCTTTAGGACTCCAAAGCCCTGTGGTGTGAGTAGGTTCACATTAGTAGGGTGTTGTGTTAGTTGATCATCCTGTAGGCTGTAAAAAATATGTTGTTTTATTTCTGATAGAGAGTGGTGGAATTGTCTCTTTTTCTATTTCAAATCCATGCCTTTCATTTACATGATTTTACCCCTTCACAGGAGAGAGTGCGAATGTTGATTGGTAACTAATCAACGTCCGCACTCTCTCCTCCTCTTTCTCCCGTAGGATGGGTTGTCTCAGCAGTGTCTGGCGCCCTCGAAGATCCACGTTCTCGTCCTGGTGCTTCACGGGGGTAACATCCTAGACACTGGAGCAGGTATAAAATATAACAACTTCATTTATAAAGTAGACAACACTTAAACTGTTACAGTAAACACTTACAGTCATCTTACTTTGTTTGTTCTTGTAAAGACAATGTAACAATATTGTATTACTATTTACTCATAATTATTCCCAGGTGAGCCAAGTAGTAAGCAGGCGGACGTCAACACTCTGACTGGAGCGTTTGAGAGAGTGATGAGGATCCATTACCCAGCAGCCCTAGGACGCATCGCCATCCGCATGGTCCCCTGCCCCGCGGTGTGTGCCGACGCCTTTTCCCTGGTGTCCAAGTGAGTACACACACACATGTGCGCACACATGCATGCACGCACACACACACGCACACACACATACTCTAACCCTCTATCTCTCCTGACCAGTCTCAGTCCATATAGTTATGATGAGGGCTGCCTCTCCAACAGTCAGGACCACATCCCTCTGGCTGCACTGCCCCTATTGGCCACCTCCGCTCCCCAGTACCAGGATGCCGTGGCTACCGTCATCCAACGAGCCAATCAGGTGTATGGGGACTTCTTAAGGTCCTTGGAAGGGACATCCTTCTCCGGACAGGTCAGTGCAGAGGTCGGGAGTCAAAGTTTAGAGGTCACTGATGTTTCTGCTATCTATTGCTGATTATTTTCTATATATTCAACTTAAAGGTGTACGTTCTCTCCTCCTGTAGGTGTGTGTGATCGGGGACTGTGTAGGTGGTATCCTAGGGTTTGATGCTCTGTGCAGCAGTAACGTCCCTGTCTCAGAGAGCCAGAACAGCAGCAGACGAGGCAGCACTGTCAGTGTACAGGTACCTTCCTCTAGTCCTTTCAATTCCACCCAAATTCCCTCCTTTATCTGTGCTGTAAATCTGACTGCTACTAACTATGTGTGGCCCCTTCCTCCCTCCCTCTCTCTCTCTCTCTCTCTCTCCTCCTTGCCCTCCATCTCTCCAGGACACAGACCTCCTCTCCCCAGGCATCATAATAAACAGTGTCTCTCCGTCCTCTCTGTCTTCTCTTCCGACTCTGGAGGGCAGTCGCCATCTTAGTCGCAGTAACATCGACATTCCTCGCAGCTTAGGGCCTGACGACCCCAAGACAATGCTGCCACGCAAACGCAGTGACTCCTCCACCTACGAACTAGACACCATCAAACAGCACCAGGCCTTCCTGTCCAGGTGAGACACGTGCGCGCGCACGCACACACACACACACATTCAAGGTGTAGTGACAATGACCGTCATTGTTGTCAAATGTTCACTTTGCCCATGTAACTTTTTTACTGTTTATACCTAACATGTGACTCTTTCCCCCTCTATTTTGTCACCCCCTTTCTCTCTCTCCATCTCTACCCCCCTTCCTTCCTTCCTTCCCTCTCTCTCCCTCCCTCTCCCTCGGTTTCTCCAGTCTCCACAGCAGTGTGTTGAGAACAGACCCGGGGTCGAGGCGCTCCAGCAGTACCATGCTAGAGGGAGGGGGGGCGCTAGGTAGGCTGGACTTCGAGGTGGCAGACTTCTTCCTCTTTGGTTCTCCTCTGGGGCTGGTGCTGGCGCTGAGGAAGACTGTGGTGCCGTCTATAGATGGTGAGGAAGACCTTCATCAGAGGTTGATCTCAGTAGCCAGTAGACTATACTAGACTATACTGTAGACTATAGGCTATATTCCGACTGCAGCCAACAGTCTTTGCCATGCATGGAGTTGGCCTTTTAAGGAGTTGGCTAAAGCAGAAATAGACTATAAGCAAAGTCACCACTTTTCATGATCGTATTTACAGAAAGTATCACATTTTAGTGAGAAGCTGTAAACTAAGCTACTCAGCACCTGTGCGGTGACAGTGTCTTTTCCTGCAGCTGTGGGGTCGGGCTCTGCCAGGACATCCCTTAATGAGGTAACATCATACTTCAGAGGTTAGAAGTCATGTTTTAGATCTCTGATGCCAGAAGTCCATTGTATGTGACATTCAAGGGAAGACATTCAAGACACATGGTCCAAAGTAAATTAAGAACTAAGATCAGGAGATAGGAGGTTTAAAAAAGAGCTGAGAGGCAGCAGAGGAAACAGAGAGGGTTGTGACATGGTGTCTTCAGGGGTTCCATGGAGTTCTAGAGAGTTCCAGAGATGTGACTCGTCAGCAGTTGCCTGTGTCACTTCTGGACCATTGAGATAAGAAGCCTTGATGGAAGTGGTTCATAGTATCCTCCATTGTTTGGTCCAATGATTTTCAATATGTGAGCTTTGGAAGGAACTCCGATAGCTGTTCCTGTATGTAATTAACGGGAAGATATTTTTCTTTACCTCTCTCTCTCTCTCTCCAGTCTCAGCGTTGCGTCCGGCTTGTCAGCAGGTGTATAACCTGTTTCATCCAGCGGACCCCTCTGCCTCCCGCCTGGAGCCCCTCCTAGAGAAGAGGTTTCACCAGCTGCCCCCCTTCTGTGTCCCCCGCTACCAACGCTTCCCTCTGGGGGACGGACACTCGGCTCTGCTAGGTGAGGCTAGATACACATGCACACGCACACACACACACACACACACACTATTCCTTTATGTCTCCGGGATATCTCTCCTCCAAAAGCAAGCACTCAACTCGCTGTGTGCTTTGCTTTACATGTCCATATGCTCTCATAGTACTATATCTGTGTGCAGGTGTTATCAGGTATAATGTACAATGGGTTACGTCTGTCCGTCTTAGCAGTTATAACGTACTGTACTGTTGTATGTCAGTTAGTCCATGTCTGTTACGTCCGTTTATTTCTGCCTCTCTGTCTCCCCCCGTGTCTTTCCTGCCTCCTCCCTCCCTATCTCTCTCCCACACGTGTTCCGCCCCCTCTCCACATCTCTCCGTCTTTCCCCCCCCCCCCCCCCCCCCCCCCCCTTTCCCATCTCTCTCTCTCCCCTGTTCCCTCCCCCCTCCCCTAGTGGAGACGATGCAGAGTAACCCCCAGCTCCTGTTGGAGTCAGTACCCCTGTCAGTACCCCTGCGTTACCAGGAGGGGGGCGTCAATGAGACCTGCATCCCCGTCCCTGTACTCAACTGGCCCCAACAGGCCTCACAGCTCAACGACAGTCTGTACCCTTTCTCTGTCTCTGTCTGTCTGCTGCTCTGTCCGCTCTCTGTCTGTCTGTTTCTCTCTCTCTCTCTCTCTCTCTCTGTCTGTATTTCATTTCTATTTGTAAAAAAGCATTATACAAATACAATTAAATTGATTGATTGTTTGATCAATCCACTTCTCTCTCTCTCCCTCCTCCCGCTCTCTCACACACACACTTTCTCTCCTGTGTCTCCCTCGCTCCATAGCTGACGTGCTCCACTCCCACTGTGGTGTGTTTGTGGACAGCCAGTACCCGTCCTCCCCGTTGACCGGACCCCCCCACCCCAGGGGCCTCCGTAGGTCCAGCGAGGCCAGCATCGCCAGCCAGGTGTCAGGCATGGCCGACTCATACACCGCCTCCAACATCGCCAACAGTCAGTACTGGACTTCATACTTTTTGATTTATCTGTCTTTTTTGCGTTTAACATTAGTGTTTGTGGCTTAGGGAGATAACATACATTTGATTATTTATTAATTTGCCCCCTCTGTTTTGTCATTCTTCAACCCTTGATCCCTCCGTAGCTACTAAATGCCAAAGCAGCCCATCGAAGAAGCTGGGTCTCCTTTCCCAGCTAGCTCTTCCTAAACTCCCCTCGAGAAGCCCCTCTCTGCGGGCCAGGAAGAAGATCCGACCCTTCCTCTCTCTCGGACTCACCGACTCAGAGCAGGGTGACGATGACGTCACCTCTGAAGTCACTGCCTCTGATGTCTCCTCAGACTTGCTGTCTGACTTCACTGATGTCACCTCTGATGTCACCTCTGATGTCACCTCTGACATCACCGATACGAACTCTGACCTCCCGTCGCCAGACACGCTGATGGACGTAGAGCAAGGTAGTCTGGGTACTGTGGTTTGAATCCTGTGTGACCCCCAGGACTACTCCCATCTTTGTGCCCTGTCATTGGTCTCCTTCCAGCTACAGTTGAACCACTGCAGTCCTAGAGCTTCTCTCTCTCCTCTTCTCCTCTACAGCCTTTACCATATAATGTACTGCAGTGCTTCCCAAACAGGAGTTTTGTCCTTAATCAAGGACCCAGTCTTTAGCTGGGATTGAAAAGAGGGACCACCATTTGGGAATCACTGATCTTGTATGTTACCCTCTCCCTCCTCCGATCAAAACTGTCCCTCTACTCCAGTTCAATCTGCCCCTGGAACCCCATTCTACTCCAGTGTGGACCTGTGACTCTGTACTATAGAGCCTCTCCCCTGGACTGTAAATCTCTGGATGAGCACACTTCCCTCTACTGTGCAACCTCTTTTTGTCTGGAACTGTCATTGACCAGAAATACACATCAACATCTTTTACAACCCTGTCTTATTTTCTCGACTGTGATTATGTATCACTTGTTTTGTGCCAGGAATGTAGCTGACTGAGAGACTTCTCTCTCTCTCGCTCCCTCTCTTTAGTTGCGTCTCGGTGGTGGGGCAGTAAGCGGATGGACTTTGCCCTGTACTGTCCTGATGCCCTCACAGCCTTCCCCACTGTAGCCCTGCCTCACCTCTTCCATGCTTCATACTGGGAGTCCACTGACGTCGTCTCCTTCCTACTCAGACAGGTATGACCGCTTATGAATGCCATATGAATGCATAGACCTCTTCCCCACATCATATTGGAAGTACACTCACATTGCTTCCTTCCTACTCATATAGGTAAGACCATATGAATATTAGCAACCAGATATAGGCATAGCCTCCTATTAGGCTCACGAATGCTATATGAATGCCTATGTAATCATCCCTGTCTGCTCCTCCAGGTGATGAGGCATGAGAACTCCAGTATTCTGGAGCTGGATGGGAAAGAGGTGACAGAGTTCAAGCCCTCTAAACCCAGAGAGAAGTGGATCCGCAAGAGGACCCACGTCAAGATCAGGGTGAGGACAGACCACTTCCGAACCACCTTTTAGTCTTTCTGTTGGCAAGTTGTAGAAATATTGACCATGGTAAACGTCTATGTGTGTAGAACGTGACGGCCAACCACCGTGTGAATGATGCTGTGTTCACTGAGGACGGAACACAGCTGGTGATGGGACGCTTCATGTATGGCCCTCTGGACATGGTCACTCTTACTGGGGAGAAGGTAAAGCTATACTCATTTTAAGCAAACTTGTCTTGTGGAACAAACTTGATATTTGAGCATAAATAATGTATTGCTTGTCAATGGAACAATGGGTAAGTCAGTAATTATTTATGTAATATACCGATGTGTTCTGAAACTGTAACCTCCTCTTGCTGTCCCCCAGATTGACATCCACATCATGACCCAGCCCCCCTCAGGAGAGTGGGTGTACTTTGACACCGAGCTGACCAATAGCAGCGGACGCATCTCTTATGTCATCCCAGAGAGCAAGAGGCTGGGCATTGGAGTTTATCCTGTCAAACTGGTCGTCAGGTAGGCTATGGGTTTAAACCCTTTAAATATCTGATTTTCTTGTTTTCAGGGTGTTTTTGAGTATGAGAACAAGCGTTAAATTATGTGGTTTTCAGTTACAATTCCCCCTTGCCACACCCTCTCCCTCCCTCCCCCTGTCTCTCCTCCCACTCTCAGGGGTGACCATACGTTTGCAGACAGCTACCTGACGGTGTTGCCGCGGGGAACAGAGTTTGTAGTGTTCAGTATCGACGGGTCGTTTGCTGCCAGTGTGTCCATCATGGGCAGCGACCCTAAGGTCAGAGCTGGAGCTGTGGACGTGGTCAGGTAGGAACATGATGGGTCTTATTCTATCGTGCTTTGTATTTTATGTACTGTTATGGGGTTGTAGCTATGTTCCTGACCAGGAGTCACACTAGCTAATGCTGGTGTGGCATACAAGTTGTGAATCAGCAAATTAATAACTAAATAGATAGATAAGACACCAGACCTGTTGGGGTGTCACCTGTTCACCCACAGCCTGGTCTCTCTCTCTCTCTCTCTCTCTCTCTCTTTTTTTTTTTTTTCTTTTCTTTTTTTCTTTCTTTCTTTTTTTCTTTTTTTCTTTTTTTTCCCCTCCCTTCAGACACTGGCAGGACCTGGGCTATCTGATAGTGTATGTGACGGGTCGTCCAGACATGCAGAAGCAGCGTGTGGTGGCCTGGCTGTCTCAACATAACTTCCCTCATGGAATCGTGTCCTTCTGTGACGGCCTGGTCCACGACCCACTCAGACACAAGGCCAACTTCCTCAAGGCCCTCATCTGTGAGGTAAGAGGGGCAGGAGGGTAGAGATGAGGGTGTAGGAGTAAGGGTACGGCTTGGGTTGAGGAAGGGTAAGTGGGACTTGGGGTAAGGGGACTTAGGGTTTTTAAGTTAGGTTTCTACTATCAAATACACTACATGACCAAAAGTATGTGGATCTAAAGTATGTAAACATCTCATTCCAAAATCATGGTCATTAATATGGAGTTGGTCACCCCTTTGCTGCTATAACAGCTTCCACTCTTCTGGGAAGGCATTCCACTAGATGTTGGAACATTGCTGCGGGGACTGGCTTCCATTCAGCCACAAGAGCATTAGTGAGGTCGGGCACTGATGTAGGGCGATTAGGCCTGGCTCGCAGTCAGCGTTCCAATTCATCCCAAAGGTGTTTGATGGGGTTGAGGTCAGGGCTCTGTGCAGGCCAGTCAAGTTGTTCCACACCAATCTCTGTATGGACCTCGCTTCGTGCACGGGGGCATTCCCAAACTGTTGCCACAAAGTTGGAAGCACAGAATCGTGTAGAATGTCATTGTATGCTGTAGCGTTAAGATTTCCCCTCACTGGAACTAAGGGGCCTAGCCCGAACCATGAAAAACAGCCCCAGACCATTATTCCTCCTCCACCAAACTTTACAGTTGGCACTATGCATTCGGGAAGGTAGCGTCCTCCTGGCATCTGCCAAACCCAGATTCGTCCGTTCGACTGTCAGATGGTGAAGTGTGATTCATCACACGCTTGTGTGCGGCTGCTTGGCCATGGAAACCCATTTCATGAAGCTCCTGACGAACAGTTCTTGTGCTAACGTTGCTTCGCAGTTTAGATCTCGGTAGTGAGTGTTGCAACCGGGGACAGACGATTTGAACCCGCTACGTGCTTCAAATCAAATCAAATCAAATTGTATTTGCCACATGCGCCGAATACAACAGGTGTAGACCTTACAGTGAAAGGCTTACTTACAAGCCCTTAACCAACAATGCAGTTTTAAGAAAAATAAGTGTTAAGTAAAAATTTTTTTTTAATAATTAAAGAGCAGCAGTAAAATAAAATAACAGTAGGGAGGCAAATAGTCCGGGTAGCCATGATTAGCTGTTCAGGAGTCTTATGGCTTGGGGATAGAAGTTGTTAAGAAGCCTTTTGGACCTAGACTTGGCGCTCCGGTACCGCTTGCAGAGAGAACAGTTTATGACTAGGGTGGCTGGAGTCTTTGACAATTTTTAGGGCCTTCCTCTGACACCGCCTGGTATAGAGGTCCTGGATGGCAGGAAGCTTGGCCCCAGTGATGTACTGGGCCGTACACACTACCCTCTGTAGTGCCTTGCAGTCGGAGGCCCAGCAGTTGCCATACCAGGCAGTGATGCAACCAGTCAGGATGTTCTCGATGGTGCAGCTGTAGAACTTTTCAGCACTCGGCGGTCCCATTCTGTGAGCTTGTGTGGCCTACCACTTCGCGTCTGAGCCGTTGTTGCTCCTAGACGTTTCCACTTCACAATAACAGCACTTACAGTTGACCGGGGCAGCTCTAGCAGGGCAGAAATTTGACAAACTGACTTGTTGGAAAGGTGGCATCCTATGACAGTGCCACGTTGAAAGTCATTGAGCTCTTCAGTAAGACCATTCTACTGCCAATGTTTGTCTATGCCGATTGCATGGCTGTGTGCTCGATTTTATACACCTGTCAGCAATGGGTGTGGCTGAAATAGCTGAATCCACTAATTTGAAGGGGTGTCTACATGCTTTTGTATATATAGTGTAAAAACAACACTATCCCTTCTAAAATAGTGTTTCTAACAGTCCATTCCTCTGTGTGTTTGTGTGTGTGCAGGCCCATATGAAGATCTTTGCTGCATACGGCTCTACTAAGGATATCACAGTGTACTCCTCCTTAGGCCTGCCGCCTTCACACATCTACATAGTGGGACGGCCCACCAAGAAGATGTCCAGCCAGTGTCAGGTACCAAACTAGCTCTTAGAAAGTGTTGAGATGCTTAGCTTCCAACTTCAACTTATGAATAGATAGAATGCACAAATGTATTCCTATAGATGGATAGTTTAGTAGATGAGTGATTGATCTGATCTCTCCTCCATTCCTACCCACTCTCTTTTTCTCTCTCTATCTCTCTCTCTTTCGCACACTCTCTCTCTCTCTCCCTCCTCTCTATCAGTTCATCCCAGACGGCTATGCGTCTCATCTCTCCCAGATGGAGTACAGTCAGAGGTCTCGTCCCGCCAAGACCGCCAGCGCCCGTATTGTCCTCCGTAAGGGAAGCTTTGGACTGGGCGCCGCCGGGGGGGACTACCTCCGCAAGCGTAACCACATCCTGCGCTCCATCAACTCAACTGGGGGGGCGGGCTCTAGCTCCCCTGGCCAACCAGGACGCACGGAACGCACGCTGAGCCAATGTGAGGTGGAGAGGGAGAGAGCAGGAGCGGGGACCCAGAGGAGTATGAGTATAGCAGCTGGGTGTTGGGGCCGCACCGGGAGCACCAAGGAGGGGTCAGGAGGATTACTCAGTCCAAAATAGGACTCACCAGACTGGGCTACAGGGGGAGGGGACCCTGCCTGACTGTACCTGGAGCACCATGATCTCTGGACTGGCCCTGAGAGAGAGATGGAGGATGGATGGAGATAGGAGGAAGTATGGTTAAGAGAGAGAGAAAGGAAAGGATGGGATGAAAGAGGGATAAGGTTTACTGAGGGGTGGAAAGTGACAGGGAGGAGGTGAAAGGGGAGGGAGAGGGAGGGCAAAGAGGGTGAGAGAGGGGAAGAAGCAGGGTCTCTTGGGAAATAGATATGAAAGGAATAGAGAGAGAACAGATGAGTTGAGTGAAATGGAAGTAAAGCCAGAAAGATGGGAGGTGCTCTAACTTTGCTGTAAAGGGTCTAAATACATTTATACTGTAGCATTAGAGTATCACAGTCAAGACTTTTATATGACCTACCTTGGCCACTAAAAGAAAATAACTGGAAGGTAAAATAAATGAAAAATATAAACAAAAACAAACGATCAAAAGCCTTAATCGTCGCCCCCTGGGGTCCTGGAGTGCCCACCCTTGTCTGAGTAATGGTTGAATGTACTCGCTCTACCTAGATGGCAATGGGAATTCACACACATACAAACACCCCAGCTCAGGACAGGCCCGGACAGTGGAGCCACCAAAAGAAGACTCATGTGTAGGTCAGGGGGTCAGTCTGTAGCCATGGCAACAAGTCAACAACTTCACCTGTTTTTATCCCTCTATCTCCGCTGAGATACACCTCCTTCCTTCCCTCTCTCCTTCCTTCCCTCTAACCCCGCTGTGTCTGGCAATAAGAAACGAGTCCTCTCACACTCCCAACAGAGAAGCACCACTACCCTGAAGAAAGAGAGATGGAAGAGGAGAAGAAAGAGGGAGAGGGGTGGATTGAAAGAGGGTGGATACAGAGAGAGATGCAAGACAAAAGGGAGGGAGGGGAAAGGTTATGGATGAGATGTACAATTTCCTCTATAGTCTGTTCCTGGGCCATTTTCTTCTGTTATCAGTGTGGTACTACACAGTGATTTCTACTGTTGACGTTGGCTCAGCTCCAGTCCTTTTCACTCCGTAACAGAGTAGCTACTGTACCACGTCTCTCAGTATGGCCTGTGGGCCGTCCCAGGCCTTAAACCCCAATGACACATTTATAAGTCAGACTCTGAAGGAACCCAGGACTGAGCTAGACAAGGCTTGGCATAACAGGAGACATTAGTGACACTTTTAAACTCTGTACAGACAGAACACAGCAACAATCCCTTTACCAGACCATCTGCTTGCAATACCTCTGAGCCACCAGTGGGGGAGCGGTGTCTTTCTCTGTTTTCCAAAAGCATGATGCTGTTGGTATTCATTCAGTTCATCCTGCAGCACCTCTTAGCTATCAACCTTTATCATTACACACCATTCAGTCACACTCCAGTGGACTTCCCTATGAGACTCTGAGCTCTTTCCTTCTTGAGGGATGTGATGAATGCTATTCATTGGACATTACTACATTTCAGTCTGGATACTGAAAGTGATCTAGGCTTTTCACAGTGATTTAAGCTTTTCAGCGAACCCTCACTATTCAAAGGACGGAAATTGGACTTTTCATGATTTCTAACAAACAGACGAGAACAGGAGATGAGGTCACAGGAAGAAGGGGTGTAATATTCTGAGAGCAGACAGGATGGCCCTCTGTTCTCTGTGAGAGTGTGTACCAGACCAGACCTCCTCAATAGAGGCAGGAAGACATGCTTTGATTACACTTTATTTGACAGTTCCCCTATCCTGTTTTTTTTTTTAACCTGTTTTTTACCTAATAATACCCACCATCTGATACCAAGTTGTTTCTAATTGTTATTCATTATCTGAAGTACCAGAGAATATACAATGTTATTCCTTAGCAAATACCAGCTGGTATCGGACTATAAAAGAAAGTGTTACTGATGCTTTCACTAAAGCAATGGCAACCTGTACACAGCATTTTAGATGAACACCTATCCTGTTATCTAATACCTGACTCCTACTGTATGGTTAGGTATTATCATTGACTTCTATTATATCCCCATTTACTAATCACACAATGCCAACACATGGCCAAAACAACAATCTCTCTCTCTAACGGCTGTAGTGTCTCAACCTGTTCAACCTCATTGTTGTTTTTTGCACTAGTTTATGGTGAAGAATCGTGGTACCATCTCATGTTGCTACATATTGTTACCTTTGTAGTGCATGATATAATAACTATTCATTATTGCAGGGTATGTGTGCTGCAGTAGTACGCACACTCATGTACATTTATTCAATGTCAGGATTACTGAATAATGTAAGTTAATGTGCCAAAAACGAGACAGTTGTTGGGTGTGGAAAGCTAATGTACCAGGCTGTATCCAACCGTTCCTTTGTGTTGTGTTGTAAGAAGAGTTGGGGCTTGCATTGAGAGCATGACAGCGTGGCTTTAACTGAAAAGGCACATGTTCAATACTGTATTTTAACAATGTAATTCAGACTAGATCTATGAATTGTAGATCTTTTTTAATCCAATATATTGTCCACATATAAGGGGCATAATGGCTAGCTATATAGGATGTGGTTATGGTTGTACTTATGACTTGAGCGCTTGTAAGCTCTAGCATGTTGTTTTGATTCTAGGGACATGCTACTATTGTCAACTAGTCAACCTAAATGGAAAGTTGTATTTATTGCAACCTGTTATGACACCACTGAAGTGCAGTAGCATAGGAGATTGTCACGTACATTAAGAAACGGGTCGGACCAAGGTGCAGCGTGAAAGGCGTACATGTTTATTAACTAATAAACCCACGACACAGTAACTAAAATAACAAACTTAACCGTGACGGTCCAAAGGGCTAACACACAAGCCTAAACAGGAACACAACAAGATCCCACAACACAGGCAGGAAAACTGGCTGCCTAAGTATGATCCCCAATAATAATATTATAATATTATAATATGCCATTTAGCAGACGCTTTTATCCAAAGCGACTTACAGTCATGTGTGCATACATTTTTACATATGGGTGGTCCCGGGGATCGAACCCACTACCCTGGCGTTACAAGCGCCGTGCTCTACCAGCTGAGCTACAGAGGACCACAAGGCCAATCAGAGACAACGAGCGACAGCTGCCTCTGATTGGGAACCACACCTGGCCAAACATAGAAATACAATCCTAGAATATTCACACCCTGACCAAACTAGCTAGAGGCGTAACAGTGATGATTGTTAATTAAAGCAATAGTTCACTTCAAAATCAATGTTTTTGTCAGACATTGATCAGACGTATAAAAAAAGGTATAATTTCAAGTCTCGGTCCCACACCATTTGTTGTGTAGACCCAGCTACATAAGGCTACTTTTGAGGTTTGACAAAGTCATACAAACTTTGATCTTTCAGTGAACTACGACTTTAACCAAGGATGTAGACTAGAGCTGTAGGTGACTGGCTGAAAGGCACTAGGGGAGGTTTTGGATACAGCCATACTGTTCCCCTCTTGCCTGTGGTCTGGTGATGATGAGTTAAATGTCCTCCTGCTACAGGCTTGGAGAGCCCAGACTGTACAGGAGCCATGGATATGTCTGTCTGTCAGTGTAGAAACTGTAAAAATGATGCTGTATATGTAGGAATATAATGGTTGAGAGGTATTTATTTACGTAACATGAGTTTACTTTCTATTATGGATCTTTCAGGTGAACAATATTTGAATATGTAGCGTTTTGTTTATGATGATGATGTTGATGATGATGATTCTATTGTTAATTGGAGGACCAACAGTCAGTGGCAGGTGTGTATTTTCTTTGCCAATATTATTATTGTTTCAGTTGCAGAGTAGCATAACCACAACGAGACACATACAGAGACAATCTATCTAACATGCACGAATATAGACAACATCAACAACATCTACTTCTCCACTGTCCCGCCCTTTCACACTTCTGCTGTCCCTTTACAAAGGTCAACTGTTAAAGGTTAAAGGTTAAACAATTTTATAGTGCAAACAAAACTATTTTTCAAACCGGACCATTTTACAAAGCTTTGACAAAATACTGTATTGCTTCCTCTCTTCTGTGAAGGCAGAGTTTTCCGTCAGAATGAAGAAATGGTTGATTGTGAACATGTGAAGTGAAATTCCATCCTGATGAAGTTTCTATTTTAGCTGTAATATGTGGTGTTCAACAAAGTTCAGACTGGGTTAGCCATCAATATTGTATACAGTAGTTATATATCAATTATGTTAACCACTAACCCTTATAGTATGTCTTGAAATTGAAATGTATGCCAGAAAGAACTATTGTTTATATGAGAATATTAGAATTATTGTCACTTTAGTAGCAGTCTTGCATGTACTGTACTATTAGAGACCTGTTTTTACACTCAGTACAGGACATGTTCTACTGTATGAGGCCACGTGTGTGACTGAAGAGTTATTATAGTTCAAGACCGTGTAGATGTGTAAGGGATAAATAAATCAACAAGGGGCTATGCATTCTATGGAAAATAATGAAGACGTGGAAGGTGTGTCTATCGGAGTTGCATTATTATCCAGAGAACGCATAGAGCCCTGAGTTGATTATCCCTTTTATACCATGGCTATCATTTAAAACATTTGCCGCTAGAAATGTATTCATTTGCAGGTAGAAATGTGTCCAACATCGACTGAAGTAGCTAGCAAGTTTACTAGATAGCTACAGTAGTTGCCTTGGTAAACAAATAAACAGACTTGCTAGTTTAGCTTACCAAACCCTAGACCAAACAATCAGTCCTAGCTTGCTATTATGTAAATCTAATTCAACAATGCCAAAAATGTTTTTATTCGACTTTTGCTTTCAAAAGCAGCTCAAACATAGAACATGTGAAAATGAACTATAGCCACTGAATTTTAACGTGCTCTACAATGACCTTCAAGCCAATCAGAAATGAGTATTCAACAATGCCATAGATAAGTCCCAGTTGGTATTAAATAGAATGTTGCGGCACCGCCCGCCTTGGGCGAAAACAACACA